GGGTTGGCTGGGAGAACATGGAGAATTGATGAGGATAAAGTCGGGTAAATTAATCTGAGCATGAGTCATGAGCCTTAGCGTGAGCAGTTCACCTCATAGTGAATTCACTCCATCCTCTCCTCCCTTCACATTCAACAGCCTTTGTGTGGGCAAGGTGGCGATTATGGAGTCAGTAATGAATGTCATGAAATAAACTACATGAGATATGAGGTGATTGATAAAATTGTGGCAAGCACAATGGCATTCTACCATCATCCATATAAAAACAGTACTTACATGGTCTTGAAGTGCTATTTGCAAAATAAGCCATTCCGAGTTCCAAGACAGAATACTAGCAAAAAGACATGACTTGACATAGAAATACATAAACTAATAACAACAGTTAAATTGTAAAATGAATTGTGAAGATGAAATAATAAAGGAATAGAACTAATTTCTCAGCTTCAGAACATCTAAATTACAATTTACAAAAAAACACCAATCTAATCTAGATTACAATATTAGAAAACATTTATTGTCTAATATTGTAATCTATATGATGTGGCAATTTTAGTGCCATATCATTCAGAAAACCATTAAATAAGAAAAGACCATTAAATATGTGAAAATTCACATTCACAGATATGACAAAACATTGTTTCCAAAGTGTATTTTGGAAATAATATACACTTTGAACCCAATCCAGATTTCTTCCTAAAAGAGAAAAAGATATTTCTTTTGTATAGAATTTAATTTTATTATAAATTTCTTTTAGGAACAACTGCATGACCTATTTCTAATAAGCAATAAAAGGAACAGTAATAGTGATAAATAGTAAGATACTTCTCACAGGGCCCACTTGCTATTAATGACTGACACATAATGGCCTAGAAGCCATGATTAATTCCTGGTAAATTTGTTATAATAATCTAACTTTTCTATACATCATCCTCATCCTCTACTGGTGCCTAATCATCCAGTGTGACCAGACACAAATAATTGTCAAAAGTAGTTGAGTAGGTATTTCACTGGATGTACTTATGTGTATTTCTCTATTGCCTCACAAAAAATAATAAACTAACTTAAATGTAATTCAGCATTCTTGAATGAATGCTGCAAAAACTAAGATCCTAACGAACTCAGTGGAGTTAGAGATAGGTATGAAATGGTGGGTGTTTGGAGTATGTGAAGGAGTATTTTTTCGGGGACAAGAGGTATCTTGATCAGATATATAAAGAAACAAACAAACAGAGAGTGGATGTAAGACTTACTGGTCTCTAAGAAAGATCATGAATAACAGGAATATACATATGGCAACAAATAAAGATTAATACTTTCGTTTCAAAACCATGTGTATGACATATTTATGTGAAATGTAGGACTTAACAAGGAGCCATGGAGAGAAATATGTTGGGGATAAGTAAAAGACAAATACAGAACTGGCAATATAAGAACAAAAATAAAAATGGAGATGGTCTAGCATGCTGGACTAGCATTCCTAAGCAAACCTGAGAAATGGAGTATAAATATAACTGAACAGTATCCAAGGGATACAATACAAAGAAAAAGAGGGTGACCACAGCCAGCCCTTTGCTGTGAAAGAACAGCCCATTATAAACAGAAACTGGACACTGGAAAGAATTAGTTGAGGCTCTTGATGCAACAGCTTTATAAAGCAGTGAAAGATTTTCCCAAATCTGTGCAATGGTTCTGCAGTTACCTCAAAATCTGCTTTCTCTCTCTCTCTTTAAAATTCCTATAAATACTTATGAAATATTTTTACTGATTGTCTATCAGCACAATACTAGTGCTGGACTGATTTTGAAAATTGTTAGAGTTATTAGCACATGAAATATTGCATAAATAGGGAAAATGTGACAGACATAAATTGCATGGGCCAGGTAGCAGATGATAAATTTATACAAATAAAACATAAAATAAATGCATACATTAAAAGTAGGGCCCATCCCCCATGGGAACACAATTACATTATTAGGGGAGGTAAATTAAATAATTAGAATTTTAGAAGGCTCATGGTACTAAAAAAGTTAGGAAACACAGGTCAAATAATAATGAAATATAATTAATATTTCATTATTACAACATAAAGAATAACCTGTAGAAATTAATTATACACATAATTGGAGTATTTAATATTTTCTTGACCCAAGAGATATGGTATCCAACAAGAGGTATGGTAACTAGTGGATAGACTTCTCTTTCAAAAGTCAGTGCCAATAGACCATCTAGATACTAGTTGAATATTTTGCATTAATGTTCCATTGGACCTTTCTCATCACTTGCAAAGGGAAGATTTAAATCAAATAATATCACATTAAATTATTGATTAAAAGGTAAACAGATAGCTGATAAGAAAAGGAAAAAACAATCATGGTGTTTCAGACAATCTAACTGGACATAATTAATAATATTAATAATAATGAAGAATCATTTGGGAATAAAGTATTAGTATATAACAAAAAAATAATAATATAAGTATTTTATTTTAATATTTATAAAATTAATAACCTCCTTATATAAAAGTCTATGTAATTGTACTCTAAGTCTATATTTACAGCTGTTATATCAATTTATTCTATGATATTTTTTTTCAGTTATGTTACAATAAGTAAAAATTGGTCAAAGTATATTTTTAAACCAAAAACTAAACCAAAAAGAGGAGAGGAATGTAAGTGTGTTAAGTCTAGGTTGCGACCACAAACTTTGCATCCCTTGATCTGCACTTTGAATAATATCTTAATAATTAATAAAATATACAAATAATTGTAATTAATAACTTTAAGTAAAAGTAAATTAATATAAATCCACATCAAGCAACATTTTCTTGGAAAATTCAATGGTACAATTATGTAACAATGACCTTGCTGGTATAGTTTCTCACACCTGCTCACCTTCTAATAATTGAGGATTTTAACACAGCAGATTTCAGATATTTCTATTGGTCTGGATTTTCACTAGTCTATATTTCAATAAATGGATACATTTTATTTGATATGTACATATACAAATAAAAATGTATATTAGGTGTTATGTAGTATGGATGTTTGTTTTGTTTTATCAAGCACTGTGTAGTTATTATAAATTTATATACTAATCAAAAATGTTTCTAATATCAGAATGATCACCACTTCAATCGTTGCAGAACTATCAAATCAAAACATCTACATTTGTTTTTTTTATATAAATTGGTTTTGATTACAAAAAATAACCTAGCCAATGATGCCAGTAAAGATAGGTTAAAACTTAAAATGAAAAATTTTCACTTTCAAATAAGGCAATAAACGATCACAGCACACTAACCAATGATAAACACGTTATTTCGGAATAGGCACAATATTTTTTTTTACAGACACTATGACGTCATTACATTGACAGTCAATAAACCACGGTAAACAATAAATTTAGTTTAAACGTTCATAACAACAATCAATACCTGTAAGTACTGAGAAGAAAAAAGGTATTAACGAAATTGCGTACTAAGACAAAAGTTCACTTACAGTTTCCTTTGGAGATAAAAACCGAGTGTATCAGGGGTAACCGCGATCACTGGTTGACAGGAAAACTAAATAACATGGCGGCATCTTGTCGCAGCCGGTATATCAGTGCTTCTAATCATTCATTACATTTAACACTTACTCAAACTAATCACAACATCGGAGGGTCTTCTGGTTAAAAACACTTCTCTTCTTGAAATCAAAATAAATAAGTTCATATCACTCACTAAAACCAAAATGACGTAACATTCTCAACCTTCACGGTCGCACAATAGGTAGATATCTATGGCAGGTACATGAAAATATTGTTTTTAAAAATAGACGTAAACGTTGTTTGTAAAAATGTAACACAGCTAATTACACTTTAAGTTCTCATTACACTTTTTTGCAATTATAATTCACTTGAGAATTTATCGAAATAAAAACTAAAGCATTTCATTTTTTTATTTAGAACAAACGTGACACGCAGTCAAGCAAGCTCGCTCGCAGTTCACTCTTTTTTTTTAAGCAGGGCTGCCTGTTTAGAAAAATATGTAAAGAAGTAAAAATATATTTTGCAATGATCGAAAGAGAATAATTTGGTATCAATGATTACATTTAAAATTATACATATCAAAAGTGATTTTAATTTAAATAACTTCAAATTACTCTATTTAATAATACAATCATTTTCAAATCGTTGAATGGATTGGAGACATTATTTTTATATAGTTATCCAATTAAAAATCTTTCCGTCAGTGTTACCACCTAGAAAAATCTAAATATTTCGCATTTTAATCAGAAAATATATAAGATATTTAGCCTGCAATCAGCAAAATATCTTATTAAATAATGAGTCAACAAACTATTAAGCAATGTAAGGATCCAGGTTTGGTTTTTCTTTTTCTACCTATATATATAACAAAAATAAATATACATGTAATAAAAATATCGTTGTCGGTACATAGAGACGGTTATAGGAGAAAAAATATGATTGGGGGATTACTATCAATATATAATAGAATTCAAAACTAAAATTGAAACTGATATTGTATGTTTGTCGCGTTTGTGCACGTCAATTGTAATGACGGCTTAAGTAGAATATGGGTGGGCTTTTCGTAAATGTATTATGATAAGTTTAAAAATGTTTTGTGTATTTCCTTTTACTAATCAATTTAAACACAAAAAGTTCTAATGTATTCTAATTCCTACGGATACATAACTGGGGATTAGCTAGTTATTGATTAATGTACATTATCATAGCAAAAAAATTAATTAGTTTTTTATATTATTTAATAAGAAATTATTTAATAATCTTCTACAAAGGTCCAAGGATCAGCGTGCCGATTAGTGCCGATCAATAGTTAATAGGCACTAATTCCGTCTTTACCCATATTTTTATTCGTTATTTGGTTGTTAATATAGGAAAATCTCGGGTTAAAGTCATTAATTTAAAAAAATCATTACCTAAAATTAAAAGACATTGTTACGAACATACATAACTATTTTAATTTGAATATAGGTTGCATTTTATTCAAGGACCTATTATACTTTAAAATTTTCTATCCTACAACCATACAACAGATTTAAATAAGGAAAAATTAAAATTACTTAAGTACGTGATATACACGTACTTAAGTAATTTTTATTATGGCACTATATTCGCGTATCCAAAATTAATATAGATTAAATGCGATAGAACAAAAAATTAAAAGAAAAGGAAAAAAGATTTGAAGTAAATAGTATTATTCTATCAGAACTGTATCACGAGCACTCGCGTACAAAAGTCGAACTGAATCACAATAACCTACACCCCGACGCGATCCCGTGACTGTTACATATGCGTCGCCAGCTCGTATAATACGTTTTGCTTTGCAATAGTCAAGGGCAGCATGTATCCGAAAGTTGATTTCAGAAATCCAACTACCTCTAGCCACCTCAAAATAGTGCAATGCGCGAACTCCTTTCCAAAAACGCAATTGCCTTGCTGTATGACAAGTGCGTGTTACAGCTACGATGGGACATGTAGGTTTTGCATGTGCTAGAATTTTTGCTGTACGACCAGAATTAGTTAAACAAATAATTACAACTGCTCTTGAACGCATTGCAAGCTCCACTGCACTAACACATACGGCTTTTGTAGGTTCTTCGAGAGGACTTTGCATCAGTTCGACATTACCGTAAGTTTTTGGTTGCCAGACGATTCGTTCTGCGTGCCTACAAATTACTGCAGCAGCAGCTAAACAATGCTCAGCCATGCGTATTGTATCATAGGAAGGAGCAATTTTTTTTAAAGGAGAATCATAATGAATTTCCAAGGAGAGCACATCTGCACCATCCAAAACTAAATTAGCTATGTCAGTTACGCATAGCGCAGGTATCTGTTCATTTATGACTGCTTTACAAAGACAAGGTTTTCCTATTTCATTACATTTAGCAATGATAATTTTTTGAGCAATAATTATTTTTTCTACTGGTAAATCGGTACTCAATATACACCGATCTAAATAAATACCATCTGCTTCAGATAAAATACCATCGATATTGTCAAATCCTAATACTGAGTCAATACACGCAAAAACAAGGATATGTTTACCTTTTTCAGATAAAATATCTCTTACTTGACGAATATCATAAGTAGTTTCAGCATTAGGTACTAATAAACCATCTACATCAGACGCAATAGCCCAAGCTATCTGATCTTCCATGTGTTCAAAAGGTTGTGTTGTGTCATTACATGAAAATGATTCTAAGCTATCGTCATGCCCTCTGTGTATATTTTCTATTTTACGTGGAACTTGAGAAATTCGTACAGTCATTTTTGCACCAATTATACCACCAACTACTACTGAACATTCAATTGAATCATCTCCAGCTTCCAAAACAACTAATTTGATTTTTCCTGGAGATATGCTGTCAATGTACACTATATCACCCGGTTTCAAATCAGTAAGGTGATCGTATCCAACATACAGACAATCAGGAGTGCCGCTTTCACGCCAACTTGCATCAGTAGTTAGTCTAATTGTTCTATCTTGAATAAGCTCTATGTTAGATCGGGGGCCACCCTTCAAATTACCTGTTATAATATCTGAACCTCTAACATCTACTATAAGAGCCAAGGGATAAACATATTCTAATTCTGCACTGTAATTATATACGGCTTGTCTTATGCTTTGAATTAACTGGGCACAAGCATCAGGCTCCAAATCTCGTATATTAAGTCTAGCTACAGTCATACCGGATGCTATTAGCCGTTGTATTGTAGCTGGTTCTCGATTGTGGACCCCAATATCACACATAAGACCTGTTTGCAATTCTTCACAGGGGTTTTCGTGAATATTTAGCTTGCAGTAATGCTTTAGCAAAGATACTTGAGCTGGAACATATTTTTTTGTTGCGTTCGATAAAGCTTCTAACGGAATATGCCACGGTAACGACATTAACTTTTATTTAGATTTATAAATAGATTGAGTTTTAAAAAACGTAATGTATGTAAAAATTAATAGTAGCGATTTTTTTATTAAGAAATGATTGTATAACAGTATAAACTGATAGTAACAGAAAAATATCTGTCAGTACATGTCATCAAATTATATTTTATTTAAGTACCTATATATTTTTAATTTCGAGCAATAAATATTTTTAATATTCACTTGGAACGAAGTGAAACTACCTAAGACTGAGGACAGAAAATAAAGTAATTTTTGAGCCTGAAGATCATATTCGGATCCTAAAACAATAACTATAGCCATATTGTTCTTTAGATCTTCAAATTGATCATAGTATAGAACAGCCTTATGTGTCCAGTACAATGGAGCCAATCGTTAGACCAAGATTGTTATTGTCTATTGAAAATACTATGTTATGAGTTAAGTTGCAATGAATAACAATTGAATAATAATATTGAAAGCGTTACATAATTAAATTTCTGTGTCATACCATATTTTAAAATCAATTTCAGTTTCATTCAATTGCTAGGATAAATCAATGGTTAGGCCAGTGTCTACTACTGTAGCCTCATTAGTTTTGACTTTTGTTTGACACTCATTGTCATTTGTCATGTAGAGTCGTAGACAGTAGAATATCAGAAAAATTCCTAAAGCACTAAAGCATCTTTCTAACATATTAGGTTCTTCTACTTCCTAAGTTATAACAGTGACAGCTATATTAAAGTTCAGTGCTATTTTAATCCTAATTCTGTTGGTACTCAGTACTCTGTGTTATTCATAGATTTATAAAAATATGTTTGATTGTTCGCAAGCGTTATATAGGTTGGAATGGATCGGAATGTACAATAATATACTAGGAACGGTCTTCTTCGTTTATTTTATAAATTAGTTATTCCTAATATAAAATTTAATGAAATATGTATTAAATAAAATTCTGTATATGGCTTTCAATATTGCTAAAGAACTCGTCTGACTACCTACCCGCTGAAACGAAATAAAAACAAACTTCTTGAACAGAAAAGTGAATAATAGGTACATAATGTAATAATCATCATTACATAGCATACAACAAAGTCGCTGTCGCTGTCTGTCCCTATGTATGCTTAAATCTTTAAAACTACGCAACGGATTTTGAAGCGTTTTTTTTAAATAGATGGCGTGATTCTAGAGGAAGGGTATATATATATAATATGTACACCCGTGCGAAGCCGGGGCGACTAGTAATTTTATATATTAGATGTGGTATGTATTAAATGAATTACACAATATCTGCAATGTAAACAATGTATATTTACGTCTAAAAATATAATTTCTTGTTCCAGTGCGTGATATGATATCGGAACACCTAATACACATTAATAGATCCCAAAATCTCTTTATTTAAGCATGTTGCATATCAGTCAGCTGTCAGTTTTTGTAGGGTTTTGTTTAATGTTGTTTTAACGTCAACGTAATGGGGTACTCTAATCACATTCCCGCCTTTTAATTAGAGAACTTCCAAGAAGAGTATCCTAATACCGACAAACTGCGACGAATTTACAAACTAATTAACCAAGATGATATCTTGGAGGACCTCGCGCAGATCAGCGTAACAGGGTGCATTGGTTAGTGCAATTTATACTGATACATTATTTATTTAATATTAAATTGTTAACTAATGATTACATGGTATAACCTGGTACATTAATTTGCCAATTACTTTCCAAATATACTACTCAATAATCTGTATATTTTAGATTTGAATAAGTAATATTAGTAGGTACAAACATTAGTCCTTTAGTTTTAGAAGTCCAACATTCAGAATATTGTCATTGTCAATATGATAAGAGAATATCTTTGAAAGACTTTATTATTCATTAATTAGTATGAGAAATAATTTCATTACCATAACATTTTAGGTCCGAGCCTGGTAGTGAACATAACATGCTAATTTTGAAAAAAGTATATGAACTTTTATGAGGTATAATATCTGAGTATGTTTATTTGAATAAACATGGATTTAGAAAATACTGTGCAAGAACTGTGTTTTGGGCTCACTGCTTCTCGAGCTACAGACCGAAAAAGGAGTGCAGAATCTTTAAAAGATTTTCTTTCAAGAAATGCTTTGGGAGCATTACTGACAAAAAATACCCTAAAGAAACATGGGTTTACATGGAATAATCTTTTCAGGGACATTAATGACTACATACTTAAGGTAGTGAGAGTAGTCTGTTTTCTATAATATGTATTTGATAATATGTCTAAATTGCATTATGAAACTTAATACATATTTTTTAGGAAACTGAAAATTTTGAAACATCCAAAACATACAACAATGTTACAGGACCTTTATGTACAAGTTTACTACACTTGTGTATTTCTGGTGCTAATAAAGGTAACACTAGAATATTTGCTAGTTCTAATTAGTTGCTTGTATTTCTATGATAGTTACTATACCTTTTTTGAAGATATAATAGAACTGTCTTTATGACACATTAAAACATACTTTTGTACACTTATGTTGTCATTATTTGACCATGTATAAATGTCTGTCCCAAAAAAAAATAATAAAAGTATTCATTTTATTTTCATGCCTGATATATTTTTTTTATTTTTGTTTTAGTTACTTATCCATGCTTGTATAGTTAAGATTATCAATTATGACATTCTAGAATGATTTAAGTCATTTAACAAAGGGTAGTTAAATAAATATATCTAAGTAGTGTCTTAAGGTTTTAAAATATGTATTGTGTTTGTTATTAATCCACAACAAAATTTCCTTACAGGTAAAGCATATATAAATTGTGACAATATTATATCAGCATCTTTAAATATTTTAAAAGATAATCGCTTAACAAGAGCTATTGGAGATGCATATTTAAGTATGCTGTATAAATATGTATTGCCACATGAATATTATTTGGGATTCATTACTGCAAGCAATTGGGAAGGTAAATTTTATATTATTTAATATATCCTAATGTGTGCTGTGCTCTGCTGAGTATGATGCTGCTCTTAGGGACTTATCTATTCAGGGTAAGACTGCTGAGAAATTTCATTTTATTAATATGTTACTGTTTATTGCACCTAAAAAAATAAAACAAACACAATTTATAGAGTATTTGCGACTTCACCTGTACAAAATAGTGACCTTGACAAAATAATGAAAACTATTTTTTATGTTTCCATAGAACCTTATATGATATAAGGTTCTATGGAAACATAGATATAAGTTATATCTCTCCTTTCAGTCCCATACAACCCTTTTTCTTTATTATTATTATTATAATATTATATTTATTCAACAGCCTAAAAAATAAGCTTCAATATTCTAGCTTTAAAAACGACAATACCTACATACACCTGTCAATTCTCCTTGCAACCCCTTACATGCCATTTTTTTATTTATATTCAATCAGTAGCCTAAAAATAAGTTTCAAGCTTCCAGTTTCAAGTTTCGACTGTGTTGCAAATTTAATTTCAGAATGGTTCAGAAGTTTTGTCATGAATGTGAGACATACAGACAGTTACTTTCGCATTTATGATATTATTATTATATAGTAAGGACTAGTAAGGATAAAGGTACAAAAGGTAGTCTTCTAGCTTAAGCGATTTCACCCAGATAACCTTTGGATAGAGGAGAAAGGGAAAGAAAGAAACGTAAATAAAGTAAAAAAAGAGTGGTTATGCCAGCATAGCAAATCTGTATATACAGTCACTTGAGCTGTGAAGGATTTTGAGAAACATGGTTATTTTGCGTAGTCCAAATATAAACCTAATAGTCATTTTGTAGTTGCTCATATTTGTTTAATTGAACTTCCGTGAGGTCTGGGTAGCAGGTGTCGGAATAATCGAAGGCAGGAAGATGTAAGAGGTGTGCAAGCAAAATTTTGGCGTTTATGGGCAAGAAAATTATCCAAACATCTGAGTGAGCCAGTGCTATGAAAATATTTCAGCTAACTTTAGTCATCTGAACTGACCAACCCAATGTCATGTCAAAGTATATACATACTACATATATGTACTATACTGAATACGTACTTTGTCTAACACTATTTGCAGAAGGGTACTTTAATTGATTTGGGCAATACAACTAAGGTTGTCGATAATGATGATCTGAGTATTTGCCAGGTTTAATGCTAAACTGAAAGATTTGCATCAGTCAGATGCTACATAGTTTTAGTGATATTATTTTAATAGCATACCCTGGTGGTCACTGTATTTATCCTAAACTTAGGTTTAATATGTATTGTTATAATAATGTATACAATCTGATTCTTGTCTGCTCTTGATTAGTTAGCTTGAAGCTATTTATTTATTTATTATTTGTTAGATTTCAATTATTTTAAGTGTCTGTTATTAGACCTACATGAATAAAGATATTTTGATTACATTTGATTTAAAGACCTGGCAAACGGATGAGGATTATCATCGTCCCAGGAATGATTGATCATTTATCACAAATTCTATTTCTTTTCAGATCTACTTGAAGTTACAATTACTATGTGCCGGTCGAATTATTCAACGATGGATGATTTTACAAAATTGAGGGTAGTTTGGCATATTCTAAAGTCCGGACGAGACTACTGTCAGCTTGTAATACCAATTAGGGATAGTTTATCAAAAATAAAGACGTGTTTTTTCAAAATTGTGAATGACAAGAAAACACAAGAAGTTATGATTGAAATTATGATTATACTGGTGAAAACGGTATGTTGGTGTAATATATAGGAATTAACTTTGTATACACTCCACAACTTTTCTTACCACGTCGACTAGACCAAAACATGTGTTGCAATCCGGGTGTAAATTCAATAACGGTCGGAATTTGATCACTATTAATGTATAGGGATATTTTCATACAAAATCAATATCAATTAGGATTGGTTGCAAATTTTGTTTGACCTCATATGATTTATTTTATCTACTTTATTTAAGGAATATACACTTTTACTGAACGCCAAGTAGTCACATGGTATATCATGGGTAGCATAACAAAGTGAACTAATAGTACTTTACTATAAGTAAAAAATACTTTGCACCCCGAGCGGTTGTTGAACACCGATGTTTACCGTGTATTGTTCCTACTTATTTAGTTGATATTATTTACAGCTAGCAGCTGAAAGCCGTTTGGAGTTATGCGAGTTTACAGAAAACGTCTTGAGCTCATTATTAAATTTTTATGATCAAAGCTTTGATCAAAAGAAGAAGGTAAGAATATAAGTTTTACAGTGTACATCTAATAAAAAAAATATTATATTAATTAGTATTTTTTACAACTATGGTTGAAATCAATCACACGGCTAGAGTTACCGCCTGCTTGGCACTTGCCGCCTGCTTGGCACTTGCCGCAATTTCCAAACTCTTACAACATACCATTACGTCATAAGTACTTGCGGCAAATACCCATTGATCAGTGATGAAATACCGACTCTCTAGTCTATGTGTATGTCTGAACATATAATGTAACAATAATATAACTACAACCGGAATCAGGGGCTGTTCAAGTATTACGTAAGCAGATTTATCACAATTATTTACCCCCCATCCCCCTTGTCAGCAAAAGTAAGCAAAGCTCTTACCCCCTCCCCCCATGCTTACTCATCTCAATTAATGTATTGTTTTTTTAGTGTGATTGCCATTCGTGTAAAAATTAAATTACGACCGATGACGTAATCATCATAATATGTCATCCAAAATAAGCAAAGAAAAGACCCCCCCCCCCCCCTATAGTGCTTACGTAATACTTGAACGGCCCCTCACTACATTATTGATATATGGAAAAAATCCTTTACCATTTAAAAAGTATTTCAGATAGACAATGACCATAATATCGACAGGCTATGTTTATCTAAAATTGCAATAATTATTATTCAGGATATAAATGTGTCCATACTTTATATATGATAGATATACTTCCATATAATATTTATATTTCAGGCTTCCTTTTTTGAGTTATTGGAGTTAATAATAATTCTCCATCATCCAAAGGGAACTTTACAAAAAAATGAGGGTAGTTTAGCTCATGATTGGCAAACCTGGAATAAACAGTTGGATAGTATTTTGGAAATAGTATGTCTCGAAGTTAACTTTTTACAAAAACTTCGGAAACAAATTGATATACATATTAAACAGTCTATTCAATTTTTTTCTCTCTCCGCGACAGTATATTATCAGGTTAGTTAATGTTATTGTTAATATTTTAGCATCTATTTTTTTATTAAATAAATTAAATAAAGAGATATATTAATGTTTTCTTTTAATACAGATTTTTAATTCGCCTTTGACTGAAGAGTCGATATCGGAAAATACACCAAAAAGACCAAGAATTACTGTTAATAAGAATAAAACATTCAACGATCTTATAACAGAATTTCAACAGAATAGTATTCCATGGTACGTAGTTCTTGCATTATAATTTGATACCATTGCTTTTTTTATTATTGAAGACCGTTTTACTTCAGTTGGTCGCGAGTTTAATTCCTTGCACGATGCAAACATTTTTATTTGTATTAATGATAATATTTTTTATGTCGATCTGGGTATTTTCTAAGTATATTATGTATGTATGTATTTATAAAAAAATGTATCTATATATATATATGTCAGTTGCTAGGACCCATAACACTACAGTACTATACATACACTGCACTGCTTAGTTCGGGGCTAGATGACGCTGTGTAAATTATATAGGGTTATTAGTATTACTAGAAGGTATATCTGTTATTTAATATTATTTTAATGTTTAGGTTAGGTGTTATACATAATTTTATTGAAAGATATGGTGACACAATATCCACAACTGATTACTTGTCGTTGCTTTACATTGTGGAGAGTTCTATATCAAACGGCGTTCACGGTTTCGATTGCGACATATTTGAAGCGCTATGTTGCTCAATAATAAAAATTATGAATGATCGCTCGGATTCGAATAAAGACGAACACTTTAACTTATTATGGAAAACATGTGTAAGGTATGTTGTGCTTATTAACATAGGAAATACTATCCGATTATTATTTTTGAAGCTTACAACTTCACCATAAGCTTACAATTTCTACCAAAAGACAGTTTGCTGTACTCATATTCATTGTAAAACATTTAAAAACCTTTCATTTCAGACATTCAACAACGGCAATAGCTACTCAAAAAATGTTACACACAATCATGCAACTGTTATTGGTGTCCACAAATATAACATATCAAAATGTTCAGCCTTTAATTAAATTGTATATTGAAAAAGGCATGCCCGTCAATGACCACAGTGTGCGCACATTGAATAATATATTCCAGCAATTCTTCAGTAAATGTAGTCAATTAGACACCCGAGTTACATGTCTGACGTGGCTAATGGAGGGTCCAACTACCTCAGTCGATGTTACTTGTTTGCAAGAATTGCTGTGGAGACTTACTGCAAATGAAAATGTATTTGTACGAAAAACTCATCCGAGGTCTTCAGTTTGCGATAATTTATATCATACATTATTTGGATCTACTGAAAAGTGTATATTATTCAGTGAATTTGAATTGAATCTCGAAATATGTGAATCGTTACCTAGTGATAAAGATGTGGCTGCAGATATTGAGAATAATAGGGAAATAAATAATGAAATATGTAAACATTTAGAACAAAAAATGTTCTCTAATCTCTCTAAAATAAAAGAGAATGACATTGAACTTTTAGAATATGTCAAACTTGTTAGACTTGTTTTGGCTTATCTTGATATCATGTTGCGGCATGATGTTTCAAACCCTACTGAAATAGTCGACATTCAGATATATAGTCAATTAAAAGAATCCCTAAAGCTAATGTATGTTACATTAATTCATAGTTTAAAAAATGACAATATCCTAAATATACATAAAAATAAGGTTCTAAAATATGTACAAGAACTGATAATGTGCGAATATGATTCGTTGCTTTGTACTGAAATACGACAAAGGATAGATTCAGATTTCTTTCATGGCATTCTTGAAATCTTGAACAAAGATAGCGCAACGGATGATGACTATGAACAATCTGAGAAAGACGAACAAGAAACTACTTTAGCTGGTGTGAAACGGAACTGCATTCTTCTGATGGCGGCCTATTGTCGTAAACAAGAAAATTATACACAGGAATTATTAGAAGCAGTATTAGAACCGAGTTTGTATAACTTTTCTTGCTATTTGGATGTTGAATGCGCATTTCAGTGTATCGAATTATTAAATGATTCCAAAGTAGAAGACATTCCAATAGGTAATGCTGGATTTATTTAATAATTTATAAAATCTATGTTGTTTTATGATAATATTTTGTACCTTCCATGTATGTTTTTTGTTCATATTGTTTAAGCTGGTAGTGCACCAGTATACGATGATAGAAATTTCATAATGGTCGTTAAAACAAGAAGACAGTTTGTAATGGAAATTTTATTTTTTTATTAAAAACTCCCAAACTGATTTCATTTACGGTAAAAATGCTAAAGTGTTTCTATCACACTACAATGCCTGGGATATAATGAATATGTACATGACTATATGTACTACTGGTGTCCATCGATGGATGAGGCTTATGAATTTTAAAGGAACTTAAAAGTGACAGTATTATCTATATGTAATATAACTACTGCGTTGCTGCAGTACAGATGTAACTTCAGTAAATTTAATTGTGTATGTATATTGCGATAATCGCAATATACATACACAACATTTTGTTTTTGTTGTATTTTTTCAGATTCCATTTTTAATCTCATGAAATTCATGTGTAGAGATTTGTATAGAGATCCCAAAGCAACTTTTGGGTTGGTCAAAATATTATTCAGTATGCTTGATCGTATTTGGTGTAATGACAATACTATGAAACATAATTGTTTCATTATGGTCAAGAGTTATTTGGATAGATGTAACAAATTGTATTATCCTCCACATGTGGCCGGTCTAATTTATAAATGTGCAGCAAAAATTGTGGCACTGAGCCTTAAACATGATTTAAATCCTAAATACGACGTGGAGGCGTTCAAAAATGCTTTAATTAATAGAACAAAAGAAGATATCCACTGTATTCGATTGCAGTGTGTATATTTATTGAAATTGTTGATTGCTGATCTATCTAATTTTGACGTCGACTCATACTTATCTGGACTAGGAGATATATTTACGATCAATGTATGTACAAATTTAAATTATAACCATACTAAATTCAGTTTATATCGATTTCATGTAGAAATTTCATTGAAAAGCGGTTGATTATAACTTCAATAATAATGCATTCATAAGTAATCGTAATCATTAAATTCAACAAGAATTCAGATCATTTGAGGATTGATATACGAATATATTGAGTACATGTAAATCGGTTCGCTAGTAATTTAATTGTGTTTAATGGGTAGTTGGGTATTTTATTGGGTAAAAATGATTAAATCTTGTAATAAGTAGGTAGTATTATGGCCATAAATACATTAGTAATATTGTATAAACGAATATCCTAATATATATTGATTCTATGAAAGTTATACCATATACTGTTTAAAAGTCGTGAGTAGATTGAATGTCTATATGTTATGTTATCGTCATAAGATTAAGTAATATAATTACATAATTGTAGATATACTTTTGAGTATCCTTTTCTTAATGTGGTCGCCAGCAACAAACGTTTAAATGTGTTTGTAATTACTATTGTTACTAATATGGCAGTAAGTATATGGAATGCTTCTGAATATTATTTTTACTGACATTGTAGAAAAGGATTAATATTATAACAAATATTTTACAGAAGGTTTTTATCACGCTCATAATAACTTTAATTCGCAGGTATCACATAATCAATCCAGAAGAGAATTAATCATAAACGATGAATCAACGAATCGCACTTCAACTGTGTTGCACAGTTTTCTGGCAATAGCACAAACCAATAGCTCACTAATGCGGAAAATAGTGACGCTAGCATTGCAGACTCAAAAAGAAAAGTCACTGGACGTAAATTTAGTTAAAAAAGTACTAAATATAATAACTCGTACAATTGCTAATAGCACTATAGATGTATATTTGAACAACAATGTACTATGGATATTAAATTTTTGGTTTCACAAACAATATACTCTAAACGACTTGCCTATTTTTCTGTTCGGGGTGGATAACATCGATGCATTTCTAACAACACATATGAAGTGGGTTGTGGCAGCCGAAATTTTGTGGCACAACGGTGGCAATATTCATTCGAGTAATGTTATAAAAGATATCAACAGTAAATATAAAATATCAGAAGAGGAAATTGTTGAGGTATTTATATTTCTAATAAATGTGTTTTATATCTTAGGTATTTCTGGTTTATTTTATTATTTGTCTGATTAGGTACAGGCGACTTTATATCATTGCTCTTAAATGTAAAATACAAAGTATTTGAGTAAATTTATACGTTTGCAATTTGCATATAGCACATCGGCGGACTTGTAAACACATTTATGTGACACAAATTTCTGTGGCAACGGATTGTAATATTTAAATATTATAATTTGGAAATTATTGTTTTCAGGATTGCTTTTGTAATATTATAGTGTTATGTCTTCCATATATCGTTGCTAATAAATATGGATTGGATATCATGAAGTCGCGAAATTTGACTCAATATCCGTCATTAATGGCAAGCACCCATAAATTATTTCAATCCACCCGAAACATTCTCGATAATGATAAATGGAGTAATTTGTTTGTGGAAAATATAGCTGAGTTATTGTTGCTAGCAGTGAGTCATTTGAGTGATAATATAGATACAGAAGAAGTCTTTGGAGTGAAAGTTGCCCAGCATACTGAGACATATTACTACCCGAAAACAATTTTCTCTGCCATACTTAAGTATTTTGGGGTAAGATATTTTATTATTGTAATTATTTCTGCAGAGGTAAATTTTCTTCGAACTTGTACTTTTGTCTGCGTGGGCTCTTCCAAATTTGTTTTTTTACTACAGTCATCTACAGACATCACGTTATCATGTGACATCACTTATCAGTTGCCATTCTAGAGGATTCAGATATGAATACAGGATAAACTGTAATTTCACTGCCTAATTTGCGTCTAACAACCGAAACAAAGTGTACAAAGCAAGCTGTTTGGTGGCTGAAATAGGTAAGATTGAACTACCCACGCAGACGACTTTTTTCAGACTAGTAAATTTCATTGTGTCGTTTCAGGAATTAACGGATGAAAATATTTTAAAATATATGTGTGATAACCAACCTGTAGCCATATTCAAGACATTATTCAAACTATGGGAGAATATATTAATGGAAAATGTGTTTGCATATAAGTTATTATTACTAAATTCATTCCTGACGTTTGTGTTATTTATTCCATTGGATCATAAATCTGACGCATTTATATGTAACTTTATTTGCAACAGTCTTGGTCAGGCGATAAAAAAGTCAAAGGACAAAATGGAAATAAAAATATTTGCTACATCTTTAAAGATTGTATTAAATAAATATTTGCCGGAGAAAGTAAACGACTTGCGTACAACTATATCGCATTTATTAGTAATTTTAGTCATAAAAAAAGAAGACGGTTACGAAGAAGATTGTAGTCAGTTATTAAATTACTTGATAATAGATGTCAAGGAATATTTGAATGAAAGTGATGATGTTGTTGATTACATTCACTCAATGTCTCAAGGCATTATCGAGAATGGTAAATGCTCTACGAGTACTGAATTTTTGGAAAAGCTGAAAATGCATAAGTTGGGATTAAAATGTCCAAGGTAACATTTATTTTTAAGTTCATGTAATATTTTGTTGTTATGTTTATTTAATAACATTTGTTGATTGTTCTTATGATGGAGACATTTTAAGCGGAATAAAAATCATACATAAAGGAAATGTTATGCCGTGTATTCCAAAATTAATGATAATTAGCAGTCTTGCCTCCTGGCATGGTTACGAACATACATTCACATCTATATAAATAGAAATTAATATCCGAACGTATGTATTATCAGTTTGGAATGGTTGCACCTATTTGGCTCATTCTAATTTTGTTGGAAATATGTATAAACATTGTTTGTATATACATATAGTCTTTTAATTACATGTTTCTCATGTTTTGTATGTAGGAAAATGTAAACAAAAAAATGGGTTATATGGTACAAAATGTATATATTGACAGATTTATAATTAAATATAAAATTCTTTTAGCTGTCATATGTTATCGATTATTTTTGATATGTGGGAAGCCACAATGGGTAGCTAATTTTTATTACAAGTAAGGATTCTGTGTATAGTATTTCAATAATGTTAATGTTTCAGTCATGAAACTCTGGTAAAAATGTCAAAATTTTTGAAATATAATAGACAGTATGTGAATGACCTTTGTATTGGTTTGGATGCAAAGGGGTTTTCGGAAAACTGTGAAACAAGTTTAATTCACCAGATTATAAATGATCTCAGTAATATTCTAAAGCACGCAACGGACACAAAGGTTTGTAATTTATATATTGTATATACTACGCAATTTTATCATTACCCAACCAGTAAAAACAAATTAAAAAGAATGCAATTAAAAAACGTATTTTGTGTTATTCTCTATGAAAATTATTTTTTATAAAATTTAAACGCAAACTGAATCGGCTACTACACTACATACTCGACCAGCACTACGAAAATCATGTGACATGCTCGATACAACTCGTACCTATATTGCCTTCCAGAGGACTAAGATGTCAAGCGTCTTATTCTGTATTTATTAATTTCTCAGATTCTCGGATTAATTATCTTATTATAATAGTAGGCAACTCGGGTAATTAACTATTGATTTCTTAGGTATATTGTGACTGTTTATATGAATTAAATCATGCATTTACATCTATGCAACTTCAACTACCTCAACAGAAAGTTTGATTTTCTACTATTTCGGATTGCATAGTACAAAATCAAATGAAGTGTAAATTATATTATATACAATATCATTAATTTTATTATTTTTTTACAGACGATCATTGAAGCAATTGCTTGCCTATCAGAGATAGGAAATTACGACTTAAAAACATTGGTGACAGTGCCAACGAACAAAACCACGCGCATAGTAAATATTCAGCCGCAAGAGTATTTTGCAAGCACGGCGATGATGTCTGTATCAGATATTATGTTTGATGAAAATCCTACTGTCACTAATAAAGCTGCTAAAACTTTGAATAGTTTATTGAAATTTCAGGATGGTTGTAGCGCGTTTGAACATACAGGTAATTAACAGGAAGTACTAAATTTTTTTATAAAAGTCTGTTTTCGTAATTATTATTCGATATTAATGCATGTCACTTTATGTTATGTTATAACATGTCATAATAAATTATTTAAGTACGGTTTCTAAAATCCGAATGACTGCTCATCCTGCCTAGACCTAGTTATCAAATCCAGTATTCGGCAATGCGCTAATGCTACTAAATAATGCAACACAATAATTATTAAAATAAACAATTATTTTTATAATAAATTGATAACAATGTATTAATTTTAGATATTCAAGAAGTAACGAAACATATATTAAAGCCGTTTGAGTATACAGATACAAAAAAAGTAGCTGTTTTCAAAATAAATGAAGGGTTATTTATGTCGCTCTCTGAAAAAAACTCTTTTTGGGTGCCCAATGAAAATGAAAAACATGAACAGTGGCTAACTCGCGTTACAACCGCTAACTTGGCCATTTTGTCGTCTACAGACAATTACCTCAACGATTTACATAGTGTGTGCCTTCTAAAGGTATTGTAACTACATGTTTTAATTTAGTAAGTAATCGTACTAACAAACAGGAAAAATTAGAAAGAATTTTTCCTATATTAGGAGTCCTAATTTAGGACTGAAATGCCAGCTCAGTAAATCTGTACGCCCAAGGTTCGATTGTATTTGTTCTTTTAATTATTATATCTTTCATACTCCATGTATACTCTTATAATGATACCATTTTCTTATTTTTTAGCCTAGTGTGTGCGAAAGAATTTTGCCGTCTTTAATTGGATTGGTGCTCTTTTGTTCTAAAAAAAATCATATTAATGTGATTTCTAGTCAAATTAATATATTTTTTAATAATGTATGGGATAAGACTTTTGCTTTTAAAGTTGAAAATAGTGGCGACAGTATTGTACATAATGCAGTATCAAATAGTCTCGACCGCGATCACAAAATGGTCATTCAATACATGTTGGGTATTGTCAACTTTGTTCGATTGCAAAGTAAATTTTATTCAACAAGGTAAGTGATGTTGCATTCTCTATCGCTATATTCAACAAAGAAATGACAGATTATTCTAATTATTTAAAATTCGCTAGAGCTGAATGCTATTTTATGAATATTTTTGCAATCATGAGGTAGTCGACTTATATTCAGAAGTAAAAATCGCCTTTTCTTTTGTACATTTATAAATGAAGTGTAACATTTTTATTACAGATTAAGTTATTCGGCCGAAACATTAAATACTCTAAATCTTGAATATGACAAAGTGGCATGGGCGGCGACTGTTATCGACCAAAACTTTGTAGCCATTTATTACAGCGAGCTTTGGGCGATGTATCAGAATAATAAAATTCCACCATCGTCGCCTGAAGCTACTACTGTTTTGGATGGAGGCAAGGACATTCAACGTATATTGAGAAAGGTTAGTAAACATATTGGGTACTCGATTCTATAGCAGAGTATAAAATTCGATTAACTTCTGCTTTCGCGGTCCCATTTTTCAGTTTTTACTAAATGAGAACAGAATTGAATCCTGTGGTAATTAAACTCCAAGTCAACAAAAAGTATCTCGGTCGCCTCTAAGAGATATAACCAATTTGACCGTCTTTTGTTTGCACATATATATTTATAAAATATTCTTGTATTGATTTCTTCGCAATATAGAAAGATTATTATCATTGTGTGTATTAACTATTGCAGTGTTATGTTTCTATCGGTGAAATGGATGCCATTGATGGCTGCGGCACCGCCCACTTGACAATCGAAGATGAGAGACGGAAACACCTTATATATTCTGGCCAGTACACGGATGCGTTATTACTGCACGACATCGCGCTTTCCGGAGGAGATAACAATAATATGGAATTACATTGCGGTATTTTGAGATCACTTCAAAGGTCGGGGATGTACCATATAGCTCTACAGCACATTAAATCTCTGCCGGAATCTGAAGAACTAAACGATTTAAATTATGAATGTCTCAGTGCACTTGGTAAGTGGAAACAATTTTTATTATTATCCAATTAATGGAAATATTTCTCGCAAATAGAGTTGTGCTAGTACCACTGTATTCTTGTGAACATTTGTTTTAGGTGATTGGAGTAATGTTGTGGATATTCGACACATGCAAGAAAAAATTGAAGAAAGTAATTACAACCCTAATTCTATCATAAAAGCGTTTCGATATGCTTGTCTCAAAGATTGCCTGACCTTACAAGTAACACCAAGGTTGGATAACCGGCTCCTTCTGCCTTTGAATAGAGCTAAGTTGGCTGTATCTAAACTGTGTCAGGACCTTAACATGGAAAACTGTCAAAATGTGTATAAAGTATTAGCAAAGATCCATTTGTTTTGTGATATTGAAGATTATTTCGCCGTAAGAACATACGAACTTCCAATAGAATCGTTACTTAGCAAATGGCAAGTTGAGAAATTGCCAGCATTTCACGATTTTAAGCATTTAGAAGATCTTATATGTCAACGAAATCTGATGCTGGAAAATGCAGCAAAGACACATGACAGAGTTGTGAAAGATATTATGTCTTTACAATTAGAGTATGTTGGTGAGTAATTTATTTCTTTTGCTTTACTTGTTTTAGATACTTTTTTTGTAAATTGAATAATTATAATAAGAGTACCTAGTAATTAATGAATATGTGCTTTATTCCTCCATTTTGTAATATGTAGTGCTTATATTTTGTAAAGCCATGAAATTGTATACACTTATTTACAAAGCCGCTTGCTAAATGGCTTTGTAAATAAAAAACTGAATAAAATTTTTTACTTCACTAAATTCATTAAATACAAATTGACATTACATTGTGTTATTTATTTATCCTTCACATAATGTGAAGTAAATGATAAATTTAGTTACCAAGACATGCACAAATGTAAATAATATTTTTATATTTTATTGAATCCTCATTATTCATATAATATTTAAATTCAATTTTTTATTATGTTTAAATAATGTAAATTGTGTGCAGTAAATTTTATATTATATTTTGTTTGAAATATAATTAGTGGTTCATATTACAAATGAATACAAACTACTTGAAAACTTTCAGAGCTGAGTTTGGAAAATAAACGGGTGCAAATGGCGCAGCGACTTTTAGCAACAGTGAAAAAGTTGGAGTCGTCTGAACAAGTAATGCTATTGGAGAGCCAAATTTCCTGGTCTAAAGGGCATAATGATATCGCCCTCTCGTTATTACGTGAAGTGGTCTGCAATGACCAACCTTCAGCAATATCTTTGAGGTGTGTATTATATTTTAGCATAAATTAAAAATAATCGTTTTAGCCCAAGAGCCCACGACTGCCAGACATACGTCATTTTAATAAACGTGAAAGTTCTTGTATGTGTGTCCCCAACACAGGTAAGAACGATCCCCAAATATGAAACCTGGATCGTGGTTCCTTTGGCAGGTACCAGGTAACAAAGGTGTAAAAAAAATCATACCAAATTCGTTATTTTAAGAAACTCCATATTTTCATATATTGTTCGTAGCACTATTATAACTTGCGCTGCTCATTGCCAGACACGTAGTGTGGTTCCAACCCCCCGCCGGACCCCCCTAAACTATACTATTTTAGAAATAAACTTACGTCATTTTAATAAAGCTGAAATTTATATATATTATTGAGAGTTCTCTCAAAATGAGTTTCCTAAATTGCCAGACAGTTTTCTTGGTTCCTTATCCTACCAGACTTATTGAAACCGTATATTGGGTAACAACGGTGTATACAATTTCATATCAAATTCGTTATTTTAAGATGCTCCATTTTTTCACATATTGCTCGTAACAGTATTATAACTTGCTCTGCTCATTGCCAGACCCTTAGTGTGGTTCCAACCCCCCGCCGGACCCCCCTAAACTATACTATTTTATAAATAAACTTACGTCATTTTAATAAAGCTGAAATTTATATATATTATTGAGAGTTCTCTCAAACTGAGTTTCCTAAATTGCCAGACAGTTTTCTTGGTTCTTTATTCCACCAGAATCATTGAAACCGTATATTGGATAACAACGGTGTATACAATTTCATGTCAAATTCATTATTTTAAGATGCTCCATTTTTTCACATATTGTTCGTAGCATTATTATAACTTGCGCTGCTCATTGCCAGACACGTAGTGTGGTTCCAACCCCCCGCCGGACCCCCTAAACTATACTATTTTAGAAATAAACTTACGTCATTTTAATAAAGCTGAAATTTATATATATTATTGAGAGTTCTCTCAAACTGAGTTTCCTACATTGCCAGACAGTTTTCTTGGTTCCTTATAATACCAGACTCATTGAAACCGTATATTGGGTAACAACGGTGTATACAATTTCATATCAAATTCGTTATTTTAAGATGCTCCATTTTTTCACATATTGCTCGTAACAGTATTATAACTTGCCCTGCTCATTGCCAGACCCTTAGTGTGGTCCCAACCCCCGCCGGACCCCCTAAACTATACTATTTTGTAAATAAACTTACGTCATTTTAATAAAGCTGAAATTTATATATATTATTGAGAGTTCTCTCAAACTGAGTTTCCTAAATTGCCAGACAGTTTTCTTGGTTCCTTATTCCACCAGAATCATTGAAACCGTATATTGGATAACAACGGTGTATACAATTTCATGTCAAATTCATTATTTTAAGATGCTCCATTTTTTCACATATTGTTCGTAGCATTATTATAACTTGCGCTGCTCATTGCCAGACACGTAGTGTGGTTCCAACCCCCCGCCGGACCCCCCTAAACTATACTATTTTAGAAATAAACTTACGTCATTTTAATAAAGCTGAAATTTATATATATTATTGAGAGTTCTCTCAAACTGAGTTTCCTAAATTGCCAGACAGTTTTCTTGGTTCCTTATCATACCAGACTCATTGAAACCGTATATTGGGTAACAACGGTGTATACAATTTCATATCAAATTCGTTATTTTAAGATGCTCCATTTTTTCACATATTGCTCGTAACAGTATTATAACTTGCTCTGCTCATTGCCAGACCCTTAGTGTGGTTCCAACCCCCGCCGGACCCCCTAAACTATACTATTTTATAAATAAACTTACGTCATTTTAATAAAGCTGAACCTTATATATATTATTGAGAGAACTATTAAACTGAGTTTCCTAAATTGCCAGACAGTTTTCTTGGTTCCTTATCCTACCAAACTCATTGAAACCGTATATTGGGTAACAACGGTGTATACAATTTCATATCAAATTCGTTATTTTAAGATGCTCCATTTTTTCACATATTGCTCGTAACTGTATTATAACTTGCTCTGCTCGTTGCCAGACCCTTAGTGTGGTTCCAACCCCCGCCGGACCCCCTAAACTATACTATTTTGTAAATAAACTTACGTCATTTTAATAAAGCTGAAATTTATATATATTATTGAGAGTTCTCTCAAACTGAGTTTCCTAAATTGCCAGACAGTTTTCTTGGTTCCTTATTCCACCAGAATCATTGAAACCGTATATTGGATAACAACGGTGTATACAATTTCATGTCAAATTCATTATTTTAGGATGCTCCATTTTTTCACATATTGTTCGTAGCATTATTATAACTTGCGCTGCTCATTGCCAGACACGTAGTGTGGTTCCAACCCCCGCCGGACCCCAAACTGAGTTTCCTAAATTGCCAGACAGTTTTCTTGGTTCCTTATCATACCAGACTCATTGAAACCGTATATTGGGTAACAACGGTGTATACAATTTCATATCAAATTCGTTATTTTAAGATGCTCCATTTTTTCACATATTGCTCGTAACAGTATTATAACTTGCTCTGCTCATTGCCAGACCCTTAGTGTGGTTCCAACCCCCCGCCGGACCCCCCTAAACTATACTATTTTATAAATAAACTTACGTCATTTTAATAAAGCTGAACTTTATATATATTATTGAGAGAACTATTAAACTAAGTTTCCTAAATTGCCAGACAGTTTTCTTGGTTCCTTATCCTACCAAACTCATTGAAACCGTATATTGGGTAACAACGGTGTATACAATTTCATATCAAATTCGTTATTTTAAGATGCTCCATTTTTTCACATATTGCTCGTAACAGTATTATAACTTGCTCTGCTCGTTGCCAGACCCTTAGTGTGGTTCCAACCCCCGCCGGACCCCCCAAACTATACTATTTTATAAATAAATTTACGTTATTTTAATAAAGCTGTAATTTATATATATTATTGAGAGTTCTCTCAAACTGAGTTTCCTAAATTGCCAGACAGTTTTCTTGGTTCCTTATCCTACCAGAGTCATTGAAACCGTATATTGGGTAACAACGGTGTATACAATTTCATATCAAATTCGTTATTTTAAGATGCTCCATTTTTTCACATATTGCTCGTAACAGTATTATAACTTGCTCTGCTCGTTGCCAGACCCTTAGTGTGGTTCCAACCCCCGCCGGACCCCCCCAAACTATACTATTTTATAAATAAATTTACGTTATTTTAATAAAGCTGAACTTCATATATGTTATTGAGAGAACTATTAAACTGAGTTTCCTAAATTGCCAGACAGTTTTCCGGCGGGGGGTTGGAACCACACTAAGGGTCTGGCAATGAGCAGAGCAAGTTATAATACTGTTACGAGCAATATGTGAAAAAATGGAGCATCTTAAAATAACGAATTCGGTATGAAATTGTATACACCGTTGTTACCCAATATACGGTTTCAATGAGTCTGGTAGGATAAGGAACCAAGAAAATTGTCTGGCAATTTAGGAAACTCAGTTTAATAGTTCTCTCAATAATATATATAAGGTTCAGCTTTATTAAAATGACGTAAGTTTATTTACAAAATAGTATAGTTTAGGGGGGTTGGAACCACACTAAGGGTCTGGCAACGAGCAGAGCAAGTTATAATACTGTTACGAGCAATATGTGAAAAAATGGAGCATCTTAAAATAACGAATTTGATATGAAATTGTATACACCGTTGTTACCCAATATACGGTTTCAATGAGTCTGGTAGGATAAAGAACCAAGAAAACTGTCTGGCAATTTAGTCTTGAGAGAACTCTCAATAATATATATAAATTTCAGCTTTATTAAAATGACGTAAGTTTATTTATAAAATAGTATAGTTTAGGGGGTCCGGCGGGGGTTGGAACCACACTAAGGGTCTGGCAATGAGCAGAGCAAGTTATAATACTGTTACGAGCAATATGTGAAAATATGGAGCATCTTAAAATAACGAATTTGATATGAAATTGTATACACCGTTGTTACCCAATATACGGTTTCAATGAGTCTGGTAGGATAAGGAACCAAGAAAACTGTCTGGCAATTTAGGAAACTCAGTTTGAGAGAACTCTCAATAATATATATAAATTACAGCTTTATTAAAATAACGTAAATTTATTTATAAAATAGTATAGTTTGGGGGGGGGGGTCGGGCGGGGGTTGGAACCACACTAAGGGTCTGGCAACGAGCAGAGCAAGTTATAATACTGTTACGAGCAATATGTGAAAAAATGGAGCATCTTAAAATAACGAATTTGATATGAAATTGTATACACCGTTGTTACCCAATATACGGTTTCAATGAGTTTGGTAGGATAAGGAACCAAGAAAACTGTCTGGCAATTTAGGAAACTCAGTTTAATAGTTCTCTCAATAATATATAAGGTTCAGCTTTATTAAAATGACGTAAGTTTATTTATAAAATAGGATAGTTTAGGGGGGTCCGGCGGGGGGTTGGAACCACACTAAGGGTCTGGCAATGAGCAGAGCAAGTTATAATACTGTTACGAGCAATATGTGAAAAAATGGAGCATCTTAAAATAACGAATTTGATATGAAATTGTATACACCGTTGTTACCCAATATACGGTTTCAATGAGTCTGGTATGATAAGGAACCAAGAAAACTGTCTGGCAATTTAGGAAACTCAGTTTGGGGTCCGGCGGGGGTTGGAACCACACTACGTGTCTGGCAATGAGCAGCGCAAGTTATAATAATGCTACGAACAATATGTGAAAAAATGGAGCATCTTAAAATAATGAATTTGACATGAAATTGTATACACCGTTGTTATCCAATATACGGTTTCAATGATTCTGGTGGAATAAGGAACCAAGAAAACTGTCTGGCAATTTAGAAAACTCAGTTTGAGAGAACTCTCAATAATATATATAAATTTCAGCTTTATTAAAATGACGTAAGTTTATTTACAAAATAGTATAGTTTAGGGGGTCCGGCGGGGGTTGGAACCACACTAAGGGTCTGGCAATGAGCAGAGCAAGTTATAATACTGTTACGAGCAATATGTGAAAAAATGGAGCATCTTAAAATAACGAATTTGATATGAAATTGTATACACCGTTGTTACCCAATATACGGTTTCAATGAGTCTGGTATTATAAGGAACCAAGAAAACTGTCTGGCAATTTAGGAAACTCAGTTTGAGAGAACTCTCAATAATATATATAAATTTCAGCTTTATTAAAATGACGTAAGTTTATTTATAAAATAGTATAGTTTAGGGGGGTCCGGCGGGGGGGTTGGAACCACACTAAGGGTCTGGCAATGAGCAGAGCAAGTTATAATACTGTTACGAGCAATATGTGAAAAAATGGAGCATCTTAAAATAACGAATTTGATATGAAATTGTATACACCGTTGTTACCCAATATACGGTTTCAATGAGTCTGGTATGATAAGGAACCAAGAAAACTGTCTGGCAATTTAGGAAACTCAGTTTGGGGTCCGGCGGGGGTTGGAACCACACTACGTGTCTGGCAATGAGCAGCGCAAGTTATAATAATGCTACGAACAATATGTGAAAAAATGGAGCATCTTAAAATAATGAATTTGACATGAAATTGTATACACCGTTGTTATCCAATATACGGTTTCAATGATTCTGGTGGAATAAGGAACCAAGAAAACTGTCTGGCAATTTAGGAAACTCAGTTTGAGAGAACTCTCAATAATATATATAAATTTCAGCTTTATTAAAATGACGTAAGTTTATTTACAAAATAGTATAGTTTAGGGGGGTCCGGCGGGGGGTTGGAACCACACTAAGGGTCTGGCAATGAGCAGAGCAAGTTATAATACTGTTACGAGCAATATGTGAAAAAATGGAGCATCTTAAAATAACGAATTTGATATGAAATTGTATACACCGTTGTTACCCAATATACGGTTTCAATGAGTCTGGTATTATAAGGAACCAAGAAAACTGTCTGGCAATTTAGGAAACTCAGTTTGAGAGAACTCTCAATAATATATATATAAATTTCAGCTTTATTAAAATGACGTAAGTTTATTTATAAAATAGTATAGTTTAGGGGGTCCGGCGGGGGGTTGGAACCACACTAAGGGTCTGGCAATGAGCAGAGCAAGTTATAATACTGTTACGAGCAATATGTGAAAAAATGGAGCATCTTAAAATAACGAATTTGATATGAAATTGTATACACCGTTGTTACCCAATATACGGTTTCAATGAGTCTGGTAGGATAAGGAACCAAGAAAACTGTCTGGCAATTTAGGAAACTCAGTTTAATAGTTCTCTCAATAATATATAAGGTTCAGCTTTATTAAAATGACGTAAGTTTATTTATAAAATAGTATAGTTTAGGGGGGTCCGGCGGGGGGTTGGAACCACACTAAGGGTCTGGCAATGAGCAGAGCAAGTTATAATACTGTTACGAGCAATATGTGAAAAAATGGAGCATCTTAAAATAACGAATTTGGTATGATTTTTTTTACACCTTTGTTACCTGGTACCTGCCAAAGGAACCACGATCCAGGTTTCATATTTGGGGATCGTTCTTACCTGTGTTGGGGACACACATACAAGAACTTTCACGTTGATTAAAATGACGTATGTCTGGCAGTCGTGGGCTCTTGCTCTATTTTGATTATTGTTAATTTGTCTCGGTTAATAGCTGCCTTTTCACGCGCAAACAGGAGCGTTCGCGATTTAGCGCGGAAAAGCTAGCGAGCGAAATCGTAATTGTATTTAACTATTATTTGTGTTCACTATTTCACACGTGATTGTGCGTGTTCCATGTCATTTCACTTTATTTTTAAATTTATATTTTATTTAGTAAATATAGTAGTTTTAAGGATGTTCTAGTGTAATTTATATACATATACATTGATGGCGAGCATTATACTATCAATACAGAGTATTTTATTATAGCATTTCCAAATGAGACATGTTTTTATCTCAGAACTCAAAGCTGTTGTACTATAAAAAGTATAATTATTCATTATTTTTACTAGACAATATGGCTTATGGATGGCCGAGTCGAAATGTGATAGTCCTCGGGATATTATAGACAAATATTTAAAAAGAAGCCTCGACATTTTGAATACCACGGACGATACAAAAACCAGGTTGAAACTGTATAATGATATTGCAAAATTCAGTGATGTTGAATACAAGAAGGTTAGTATAATGTTAAATATAATTTACAAACATAACATTATTATACTTGAATCACATATTACTACTTCAATCACATTTATAAATGCATAATGGTCGATAATAATTTTTTCTTTCTTTCTTTCTTAATGCCACTCTATTTCTACTTCACATTTCGATAAATTTCTGAGTCATGTATAATATGTATAAATTTGTGAGCCGAAGTTTGAGCGCACTTGTCCGCTTACCGCTCATCCTGTAACTTTCCATCTATAAACGGGATGTTGTGGACGTCCAGAACATGGCGTAGATTCTAAAGTAAACTAGGCCCGACCTGGCAACCATTGGGTTGCCCTACCTAGTTCACTTTAGATTTTAGTGATTTCTTTAATAGGTTTTATTATGTTTATAATATATGTGCAGATGAATGATTGCGATGATTAAATATGACTATTTTTTATATTTTATCATTTTAGGTGGTGTCCTATATGAATTCTTCAATATTCCAAAACAAAGTAGAATGTTTAAATAAAATGAAGGACACTGTGAATTCATCTCAAGTTGTACAAAATGTTTTAACTGAGTAAGTAAGCAGTTACCAATTATACTGGTCACACAATTTTAGAGTTTGTAAAATAATAAAAATTGCTACATTCAATACATTCATACATGCAACGTAATAAAAAATCTATTACTATATTCATTTCAAGAGAGTTGCGATCTAGTCGTTTACTACCCCGATATACGCCCTAAAATTTTGTGTGGGAAGTTATGTTTCTAAAAAACTTCAGTGGAAGAAATCAATAAAAAATAATTCCGAGTGACGACATTAGTTTCCCCCTGCCATGTTGAATTCAAATATACGGAGCTAAATCTGGATATGTCCAATGTTGCGTTCAATGACGTCGACAATTGACAATACTTTGACTACTGGGATAAATGTCGTGGCAGTATGTTCAAGACAATGATTTTACAATATTACGTACTTTGTTTATTATTTGCTTCCAGTGAGGACAGAATAGCAGTAAGTACAAACAGAAAATTTATGCATCTGGAGGAAGCCGAAATCACTTGTACCAAAACTGAAAAAGAAAATTTTTTAAATTCTGCAATGAGGTAGAGATAATTTATTATATTTGATTTAATCAGAAATTAGTTTTTAATTTTAATTTTTGTAATTTATTACTTTTTATTTAGAATAGAATAGAATAGATTTGTTTATTCAATCATGGATTTCAAGGAAAACGAAATCGCTATCATAAAATAAACATGCTGACATTAGAAAATTTGCCGAAGTCGTGAAGATAATAACAAAATACAGATGAATAAATATAGGTATTTAAAAAAGTAGTTAATAACTAAATTCTAATAATAAAGTTTAATAGTGTTTTTTTCTTTCAGACATTATTTACTATCTTTGCAACAATGTGAAGAAAACATATTGTCTGTGTTCAGAGTGATATCTTTATGGTTTGATAATCCCAGTTTGGTGCTATTAGAGGGCGAGCACAAGTTTCAAGATTTATTAGATAGAATACCTTCTCGCAAGTTTATTACCGTTCTGCCGCAATTAGCCCCTCGTCTTAGCAATGAAAATACTGCGTTTGCTGAAAACTTACGAAAAATAATAAGTATGGTCTTTGTTTCGTTACAAAGTAATAAACTATAATCTGCTTGTAAGAATCCGACTTGAAATTAACTATTAATAAACACCTTCTGTAGTTTAATAGAAGAAGATTCAATGTTCACGACCTTTTTTACTATATAGAAAAATTCGGATTAAATATTATAAGTTCACTTTTTCCTATGTAAGTGGATATGGTAAACAAGCTCATCAGATAATAAGGGATAACCTTCGTATAGAGCATCAGGAAAATCACGAATATAATCATATTACGCTCCTAGTATCTCACTCAAGCGTTGGAATTGATTACTATTTATAATAATACCAGTGGAGAACAATGGAATAGAAGCCATTTTTAGTTCGAAAAACGGATTTAGATGGCGTCATTGGTATCGAATGGAATCAACATTGTTTTGCAATCGTTTAAAACCCAAAACTATGTTTTCAAAAAGGTTAAATCTATTTTTAAAAAGTCATATATAATGTTAAAATGAAATAATGCGTTTCAAAAAGTAATTTTCATATATTTACTCATTTTGTTGTTGCCCTGTATTTGATTTCCATTGCTAATTGGGGCTTATTACTTCCAAAATACTCTCATAGATGGCGCTGTTTTCATTTGTATCACCGTATTTTAAATGTTTATTTTATGTTTTCAAATAATAAGTACTTACTATATTATTATGATAAATTAAACATAAAAAAAGTTTAAGTAAATATAAAACAGCTGAACAAGAAAACAATATTATTCCATCAATACTTATTTAGAAAGTGTTGTCATGTTAAAAATAAATGCATAGATTTATCGATATTTTCGAATCATCGACAACAGGATGGTGCTTTTAATCAGTCTTTGCAAACAGTAAAATTTCATCATTTTGTATTATACTCTTATTTGTGGAACGAATTGCAATGCATAATTTTTACTCGACGACGGCAAAATAGAGAGAATTTGACAGGTATGCAAGTACTATATATTTATCTGTCCGCTCATAACTTCGAAACTTGGAAGAGGGAAATAATTAGATTGATCCGATACAAGTGCACTCTATTATATCAACCTCCACGCGGTCACCCTGGTAATTATGGCAATTAATGACATTAGTGATATTGTTCTTCTATTAAAAAAATAAATACCTACTTATTGTAATTTAATGAATGAGAATTGAATGTGGTATAGAGTATATAAGGTCAGCTATACCTTCATGAAACTTCAATAAACAAGTGTTATATTTTATCTAAATTACTGGCATTGATAGCTAAATATGAGGATCCTCGAATTTTTACAAATACTTATAAGAAACTTTACAAATACTCGAATTTTGCCTTTGTAGAAGGATATTTTCAACCTTACTAATTTGTACAAGATTTTGAAACGGTAATAATTCATAATACTTTGATATACCTACTATTTATGATCATTAGTTTTTTAATATCTCCATTCGAGGGTAGGTTATTCATAATTTATATTATTAGATCACAAATAAAAATATCAATTTAAAATCGAAGGTTGGTCAATATTTTTTTATTATATCGAAATGACAACGAGTACTGGCAACATAAATGAAAGGTTAAAAATATAAAATATAGGAATAAAAGAATAGGATAATCGACTTTACGTCAAATGCTTAAAACATATTTTCATTAGCATTGGATTTTTTCTCTTTTTTCATCATTTAAGTTAAGTAGGTACTTCAATTCAACTTTTCCTGTTCAGAGTTCATTGCACTTCTTATTTTTTTGCCAAACTCAATAATTTAAGTGTGTCTAAGGATGTTACTACAAATATTTAGTAAACTATCGTGTCTTTGAGGTTTATCTCATACCAGGTATAACTATAAGTTGTTAAAAACTTGCATATGTATGCGTATGTATCTTTCATATTAAAATATAATAAACATAGGTACTTGGTGACCGCTTTAATGTGGTATTATTAAGTTTTTATTATTGTTATGAATGTAAGTTCAAAAAACTAACATTGATTTTATAATTTTTGATTGATTGAGAAAATACTGAAAATTATGAATTAAAATAAAGTACTAAACAGTAGTATTATTTTTATATTTTATTAGAACTGAATGAGTATGATGTATGAATAATATATTTATTGTGCTAATAAGGTTACAGTTTAGTTACTTTCATGTAAATTCATTCATGTAATTTCATGAAAATGTAACATACTTGATATTGTTTTCAGATTTTCCTGACATCACCAACTTAATACTGAGCAAAGTTTAAACAAATAAGAGATGATATTCTAAATCTCCTAGTCATTCAGATGAAGATAAAGAACATTTTTACTGTAAAGAACAGGAGTTCAAAAGAATAAGAAATATATATATATATATTTGAACATTTTCCTGTATAAAATAATAATGCAAGTAAAAATAAGAGAAAAAAGCAGAAGAAAAATCTGTAAATTATTAATCACAACGCAATTAATAATATAATTAAATAAGTAAGAAAGCAATGGACTAGTGATGAGAAGAAATTCCAAGTAATTATGTTATGTGTAACCGACTGCAAATAAGTTTATGATTTAAGCACATGATTGTTATTATATTGCTTCATCAACAAGTCCAGGAATATTTTGTGTACCAGAAATTATTTATGAAATTATTTTGAAGAAATAATTGTCTTGATATTGATTTATTTGGAATATAATATAAAAATAATAGAAGTGTTTGAAGTTTTAGTGGCATAACAGACAAGCAGTGAAAGAAATATTATTGTAAATTATTAACAATTGTTTATTCTGTGATTAATAAATTATTTAAAAGTTTTTTATTACCTGATATAAAAATTTTATGTTCTTCAAGTGTTGTGTTCATGCAATGTTAGTTTCACCTCATTCGATTTAAAATGTCAAGAATAATTTACTACATAATGATTTTGTATTAGATGGTAATCATATATATTTATTAATGCAATGTGTATAATAATTCCCATTTACATCAAAAAACTTTGTGTTAATCTATATTTCTCTCTATACATAATATTTCTCTGTCTATAGACTTTGGTCATGGAATACTAATAAGATATAAAATCTAGAGACTGTAGTATAACACAGCATCCCAAAACTTTGTATTTAAGTCATATAAGGACTTAGTACCTACCTAATGCTTGCTACTTTTTTAATCAATTAATTAATTTGATCTCAATCATCATAATGAACAATGATGATAATGTTGAGAATGCTGGCAATGATGAATTTTATGGTGGTCATAAATAAATACCACCGTCACTATCGTCAACAGTCATTATTGATCTCATCATCATCACCGTTACCCTCCCTCATCCATATTGTCAAAAGTTACTACCTACTATTATTAACTGAAATGGTAAATAAGCTGACGATCCATCCAACCACGACGCTATCCAACGTACATACATACACATATATTATTAAACAGCATTACAAACACTACGTCATCATGTCGTGCCCGCTATATCCCTCATACGTTATCATTCTGGAGAACATAGATGTTATGTCCAAATACCTACCCTGTAATTTCGCAGCTTAATTTCAACTGAATAACAACTTACATAAATACAAAAAAACTAGCAGTGAAGGCGTAGCTTGTAGATATCGAAGGTTCTACAAATAGGTATAACATCAAAATAAGTACCTACATGTCATTAGCACCGATGTATTATCCCTGAAAGAACCTATACATATAACAGATTGATGGTTTGCAGATATTATTTTCGGTTTTACAAATTGCCAGTTTACCATAATTAACTATATATTGAGAAATATTTATTAGAGAAATAATTATACACTGAAAATTATATGAGGTACCCATATGTACATCAATTGATTATAGCTAAAATCTATCACTATCACATAACAATTTAAATAAAAAAAAACCGTATTGAAATCGGGCTATTCGTTAAGGAGCTATTGCTTCTTAACCGATAGCCCGATTTTAGTGCAGACGCGTTACGACAGATCTTCGTCGGGAGATTTTTGAGGGGAGAGGATTTGAGATATTACATATATATACATTAATTGCAGATATCGGAATGATATTTCAATGGAATACAACATCTGAATTACACCACAACAAACGAAAGTCATATGTCATATCCGCAACGAAGAAAATATTCAATCTATTGCTATTTTATTAGTATTCTATTGTATTTGTTGCAGAGAGATGCGCATTGGAACATCCGCATCATACGCTTCCAATTTTGTTTAGTTTAAAAAATTCTGATAAAGACCAATACATATTGAACTTTAGCATCGGTGCAAGCAACCGAACACAGTACAGCCGCTCCAAAGAGCCTCGCGTGATGGCCGCTGAGAATCTAGTGAGGGAAGTAGCGAATGAAAGTGACCGGCTGTCTACTATTGTATCGCAGATGGAGAGAATGTCTGAGGGTCAGTTACTTTTCATACTAAAACTATGATGAATGGTATAGTCAAAGTAGCTATACCTGTCAGTCACATTCACTGCGTTATTTCGAACCAACAAACAGATTCCTATATGCTTTTTATATAATTTAGAGAATTTCTTCTTTATATCTATGCACTGTGTTCGCTAGTGTATAAATGGTGTCATCAAATTCCTGAAATAAGTTAGAATGTGAACATATTTTTTGCACATTGACTTCTATCATGTGACTGTGCCGTTTGTATTTTGTACTTAGATATTCTGTAAAAAAATCATAAATCAATTATTCTGCCCATCATTACCTGAAACCTAAACACAAACAGACGAACAGACAGTAATCACCTTTTCTTTGAAAAAGTTATTTAGTTTTGTGTGTATTGACTTTGAGAAAGAAACTAAAGAATAGGTAAGGGAAGATATATATTCTTTAGAATTAACACTGCATAACATTTCTGATTTAACTATTATATTTTTAGCTATGATTAGTTTTGCTAATTACAAAGTGAAGTCGAAAGAACCGAAACAAATAGTACCGTCAGCTGAAAATATTACTAGCCTGGGTCGGTTGGATGCCATAATTATACCTACGGTTTCAATACCAATTAGAAATGATTGCAATTACAATAATTTACCCAGTAAGTATAAACGTTTGTGTTTGTGATCTCTATATATATATATATATATATATTAATTTTGGCCTTTGTTTCCATATTTAGAGAACGACTGTACCAATTGCATTTATCTCTATTTTATTGTTTCGTAATACTTTGTTTAAGATTCTTTAACAATGAAAATTAAAAATATTGCACAGGAAAATGAAAATGTCATAAAAATTGACAACTATTATAACTTATCTCGTTTGATACTTGTTTGACATTCAGGACATCATCAGATTAGATCATGCGAATCAGCTAATATGTAAAAATAAAAACTGGTATGCCGGTCAGATGTGTAATATTTATTAAAGTTAGAATATAATTCATTGTCTTGTTACATTTTATTTTACAGCTTTAGCATCATTTGATAAAAATTTCGAGTTAGTGGGCGGCATAAATTTTCCTAAAAAAATAAGTTGCCGAAGTTCTGACGGAAGCCTAAAAATTCTACTAATAAAGGTAAATGTTTTGAAAGGAAATTTATATTTTTAACACCTATATTTTATGTAAATTATTTTTATGAGGATAGGGGAATATGGACTTTTATTTTGCCTTATTATAACAATTTAACTTTCAGGGTAAAGACGACCTAAGACAAGACGCTGTAATGCAACAAGTGTTCAATATTGTTAATACTTTATTAGAAAAAAATGCAATAACTAGCAGAAACAAATTGACCATTCGCACTTATAAGGTATGTACACCATCACCTTTAATCCTAAAAAGCCCAATGGTCAATTTTAATGGATGTCTTTTATTCCTTTGGAGCAAATTTCTTAGTTTGAAATAGATGTACTGTAACACCGTCGATATAAATAAAGAAAAAGAGCAGAACAGAATCAAAGACGAAAATATTCCCCTGAAAATAGAGAGCATACAACCAAATTTGTATTTTTAAACATCAGTAATGTTATTAAGAGGCCTATTACAAAATGATGTCGCTCAACTTTAGGTTTAATCGCATGGATTTACGCACACACGCAGTAATACACGCACACAGACGCAAATAAAATAAATTTCTAATTATTTATGAAATTATTTTGAGCGCAATCGGTGTGGATTTAGTATGAACCATTTTGATCCTTGTAATATTTTTATTAATAATGTGATATGTTTCTACTTAACTGAGTAACATAAACTACTTATTGGATTTTTTTAAATAACGTGATTTATCTTAATTATCAAAGTGCAAAAAGTATGGTCATTATTATGACCATATTTTTTTATTATATTATTGCTAGAGGGTTGATGTCAGGATGCTGGCCGATTGTACAACTAAAAGCCAAAACCTTAAGTAATATGAGTAACAAATAATTGGGATAAGGACAGGAAGATGAAATTACTATAACATAAATTTATTAATTAATTCTTCTTACATATTAATTCAGTTTATTTATTAATAGATACAATAGAATTTATTATAAGAGTCGGATACATTATTGCCATATTCACTTGTTCTAAATATTATACTTAGCAAATAATTATTTTATTTATATATAATAGTTGTGTTTTCAAGGCTTTGTTTTGATTTAAAGGTCCCATCCTTATATGTATATTAGGTGTGTCCGCGACTTCGTCAGCGTGGTATAATGAAATTGACCAAATATTTGATATTTTTGATATTTATTTATTCAGTAACAATTTATATTGTGTTTGAAATTATACAATTTTTGCTGCTAAGAAATTCATCAACACTGTAAAATGATTGCTCCAACAGAAAACAACGCAACCTTCTCCTAAAAAGCTTCCAATTATGTATTTTCTTTAAACTATTGGGCAAAGAGTTGTAAAGCCTTACTGCTTGGAAACCCTCACCATGCTTCACAATATTAAGGGTTGGTTTTATAATGTTAGGGTAATCCATTCTGCGAGTACTTTCCCTTATGTCTCGATTCTCCCTGGTCTCACTACCAACAATACTTTTTACAAAATCTGTTAATAGCACCAATATGTATAAGCATGGTACAGTCAAAATTCTGTATTCTTTAAAATATTGCTTACAGGATTGCACTTGTGGTATACGGACAATAGTCCTAATAGCTCTTTTTTGTAATATAAACGCCTTATTTATATTGTATTTATAACTATTGCCCCAGAACTTTATACTATATCTAAGTTTTGATTCCACTAGAGCATAATAAACAGTCTTCAACTGATCAACAGTAAGGTCATCTCTGAGACTTCTAAGTGCATAGCATGCAGAACTGATACTATTTTCTATTGAGTTAAGTTCACGTTTCCAGTTCAAATATTCATCCAATTCAACTCCCAAAAATCTGACCGATTCAGCCAGATCAATTCTTCTACCATTTAGAACAATATCTATAGTGTCCTTAACTTTCGCTGTACTTTTGAATAATAATGCATGTGTTTTGTCTATGTTAAGTATTAAATTATTCGCAGAAAACCAAGTATCGAAAATGGAAAGTAAGTGATTCGTCTTCTCAGTCAGTTCATGTAAACTTTCAGCAGAAACGATAGCATTTGTGTCATCCGCGAACATAACTACACTAGCATCATTAGTAGAATGTGTGATGAAATCTGCTAAGTCATTAATAAATAAAACAAATAAAATAGGTCCCAGAATTGAACCTTGTGGCACGCCTCGTTTTACTGTTGTCATTTTAGATGAATAAGTAACTTCGCAATTATTTTCAACATTCTTAATTTCTACATATTGTCGTCGATTTTGCAGATAAGACCTAAATAATTTTAACTCTTGTCCTCTTATGCCATAAAATTCTAATTTTCTTAACAGGAGATCATGATCGACAGTATCAAAGGCCGAAGTTAGATCCAGAAAGAGGCCTATGACTTTTTTCTTTACATTTAATTTACTTAATATGTCGTCTAGCAGTATACTAATTGCATTAGTCGTTCCTATATTTCTTTGGTATCCAAATTGTCTCTTATTTATAATATTGTTGTTCATCAAATGTTGCAATAGTCGCTCTTTAATTAATTTTTCAAAAATTTTAGATAACAATAGTGGCAAAGAAATAGGTCGATAGTTATTCGGATCTAATTTTGAATTCTTTTTATGTACTGGTATTACTTTGGATATTTTCAACTGATCAGGAAAAACACCTTCCTCTAGACACATATTAAAAAAGTATGCTAAAGGCAGTGCTATTTCTTTATTATATTGAAGTATTAATGTAGGCATTTCATCATATCCGCACGATTTTTTAGGATTCAAACTCCTTATTACTTTCAAAACTTCATCCGGCATAATAATTTCCCATTTAATGTTATTTTCTACTCTAATAACATTTTCATGAAGATATTTTAAGGCGTTCTCGTTATCACTAATTGGTATGTCATTACTTTGGTCAAATTTTATTGAAAACTGTTTCACAATGTCAGTTGGATTAATTAGAATTTTATTATTTACTTTAAGTTTAAAATTGTTACATACACTTAAATTTTTAGTTTTATTTCTCTTGTCATTTACTACTTTCCAAATGCCCTTAGTATTATTTTTAGCTTTTTTTATATCTTTCTGTATTGATGTTTTCTTGGCGTACCTTATAACCTTTCTATATAGTCTCATATAATTATTACGATAGATCAAATAACTTGGATCATTATTTGATATGTTAACGTCAATTAGAAATCGCTTCATCATACTAGATACTTTTATTCCCTTTGTGATCCATTTAGATGCTGTGTCATTTGATGGTTTAATTCTTATATGATTTTTTTTAAAACAATTTTTAAATATATCTACAAATTTAGCTATAAAATTATTTATTCCCATTTCTAACCAATTTATCCCATTAACGGTTTCAGTAAATTTTTGTTTATTTTTTTTTGAAAAATTTCTTTGATGTCTTATCAAAACTTGTTCCCTATTTTTATTGTTAGGTCCTATTTTTTTAGTTGGAGGAAGCAGAATAAACCAGCATGCCCATCAGAAAGGCCGTTATGATCTACATCGGTTTTTTTAATCATATTTTCATTTACATTTGTCAATATGTTATCAATACAGGAATGTGAATCACTACGTATGAAAGTTTCTTCAGCAATAAGACTTCTGTAACCATAACAGTGTAGCAAATTTATAAATTGTGATTTATTTCTATTATTTTCCAGCATATTTACATTGAAATCGCCACACAGAACACAGTTTTTATTAAAAAAATATTCTAATAACTTTTCTAATTTTTCTAAAAAACATTCATAATTTTTTTCATTTGGGCTACGATACATGCATAAAATACACAAGTTTGTTTCTATATCTCTTACACCACAAACTTCAATATATTCCTCCTTGTTCATAGGCTGACAAATTGTTAATTCTTCTACATTCCTATCTTTTAGAGATAATAATAGGGATCCACCTCTTTTTTTATTTATACGAAAATTAGAAGATGCTGTTTTATAATTATAAAAGTTAAATACGGGCAACGAAGTGCCAGTTAGAAAATGTTCAGTGATACACACATAATGAATGCTTCTATACAACGACTCTAGATATATCTGTAAATCAAGTATTTTATTGCTTATTCCACATACATTTTGATGAAATATATTTAATTCAGTTCTATCGTATTTACTTTCACATTCAACTTTAGTTTTACATATAACATTATCCAAAATTTTATTTGCGAAGTAAACGACTATCATTGTCTTGGTCATCCACTATTTGTGTACTATTTTCCACTGTACTCTTAGCTACATCAGAGTTATCTGTTACAATATCACTTATGTTAGTTTGAGTGCCAACATCTACAGAAGTTAATGTACATTTTAAAAAATTTTGAGATTTAATATAGTCATTATAATTCTTTTTATAACTGATGCTCAATATCTGTCTTAGTAATGATCTACATATATATAAATTGTTACAAAAATAGTTTGTATCTTCATTTGCACATACATTCATGAAAATAGCATTGTCAAAATGTGAACATGTCAGATTTATAAGGGCGTTGAGTTTATGGACATTCAAAGATCTGTTATACGGAACATTGCACAATAATACATTTGTACTCCTTAATTGATCAAGATAATAATACATATATGAATGGGTTTTCGTCGGATTAGAGTCATTTGAACCACCTAATACGATCACAAAATCTGATTTAGTTAAATCTGTGCAGAGAATTTTGCAAGAATTTAGGATTTGATCCATTGGAGCATAAGGCTTTATGATTGATGTTACTATATATCTATCACCCAACAGCTTTTGCAAGGTCGTCCTTATTCTCTTGCCTTTTTCATCCGCAAACAATAGTACTTTATGCTTCGAAAATGTTGATTCCTGAGTATCAATAGTAGCTATAGTTGTATGTTTCTTTGAACTGCTTTTGTTTGTTGAAGACATGTTGTATTCCTTGCCCTCGACGTCATGCATTTTGGTATTATCAGGCGAGCTAGTAATTACAGGTAGACTTATATTTGTTGCATTCATGTCAATTTGTCTAACAGCATTTAACGTTAACTGTTTTGGTGATGTCCTAGGGAATCCAAATTTTATATTATTTGCATTTATATGCTGTTTCATGTTTCTGTAACGCGGTGAGTAAGCGGTGAGTAATAAAGGAAATATATTTAGATTATAACCTAAAAAAGTTTCATTGTTTCACTTAAATTATGACGATACTTTTATACAACCTTTCATCTCCGCTTTTAATCCCTTACAATACTTTTTTTCGCACTATAAAGTAGTCTATGACCTTTCTCAGGGTATACTATCTGTGTATATGTATATCTATCTATATAGACTTCCTGTGTATATATATGGTAGTGAATTTACAGGGTACAGGAAATAACACCCGAGTTTTCAGGAATGGCAACGCATGAGGGATACAATATGCTGATATGAACATGTCAGGTACTGCTCATGTATATAGGCGACGGTTACCCCTTTCCGTCGTCGGAGAGCCGTCAGCTTGTTTGCCATTCTAAGTTGTAAAAAAAAGCTTCAACTGCTATCATTGCTGTTCCTGCATCATTGACGTCGCCGCATGATATTGGCTGATATTGCTGCTTCTCGTTCTTGGTTGGCCGATTCTTGATTCTTGATAAATAATTACTTGTTAATATCAAACCTTTTTATAAATTATTACAAGACGCCTCATTGATTATATGTAATGAAATCATCATGAGCTATAGAGATTTTGGACAGAACCTTAAAAACACCTCTGCTCTCATTGGCGGGATTACTTTTATACTTTTGCTGGAGATTTCTGAAAGACTCTCTGTGTCATTAACATCGTCTCCCTTATGGACTTTAATTGAAAGTTTAAAACTACTGACAAATTTGAGAGCTCATTTTTATGGAAGCACAGATAGTGATTTCCCACACTAAATGCTCAAACTTGAGGAAAGAATTTCTCAAAAGCATGATCTAGTCATGGAATTTATGCCCGCCGAACATGTGCAATGGTGTCCCATTGGATATGTTGCTTACTAAAGAATTGAAAGACAATTTAATTGTAGACCATTATAACCGGCACGTTAGCTGGGCAACCAGCTTATATACCAAGAATACCGATGATTCCAACTGATCTGCCAATACCATTTTAACGGCTTCAATTTCCGGTTAAAATATCTTCTACACATGTAATAGATCTATGTATGTTTTGATCTTAAAAAACTACGCAGATTTTGATTCGTTGTTATTTAATAGACAGAATAGATAGACTCAAGAGGAAGGTTTATATATAACGTCCCAATACTGTACACGGATCTTTAAACGCGCGATAACCTATATATCCCATATACACGCGGGCGAAGCCGCGAGCTAAAAGCTAGTCTCTAAATAAAAACATTTATAATGTTGTTGACTTTTCACCCAAACACGCATAATTATTTGACATAACTGTACAGTAATGAAAATCCAACGAGTATAATAACAGAATGGCTGCAATTTAGAAATATCTGTATTGTGTAAAATAAAATAAAGTAAATTGGATAAAATATCTCTAAACATTAAGGAATATAATTTATATATAATTTAGTAATTTATTTACAAACCACATTGCATACTAGATAATATAACACAAGACAAATGTACGTAAAAATAATAATGGTATTTTTATAAACAATAACCCTATTTTAATTTAGAAAAAAACTACAAAATAAACATAAAGTAAAATTGGTTTACATTTTCCTCTCAGATAAGCGTTATTTTTAAAAATACTAAAATGTTCTCTTTTTTAATTTTAACAATTAATTGCCATTAGTGTGACGAAATACTATGCTCTTGTGCTTTTCGTAGTCCAGCAGGGTAGGTAGGTTTTATTTGTAGCATAACTGTACTTTTGTCTCTGGCATGCTAAAATAAATATTATATATATATATTTAACAACAACTTTAAATTAATATTCGTAGAAATAAGTATGTATTAGCAAAATTAATTAAATATTACTTAAATTATCAAAATTGCTTAGTCGCACTATACTAATGTTCTCTGACAAATGTTTACGAATGTCTTATTGTAGCGGTGTCGTAAAAAATAGCATAGATAATACCTCGACGAGTGCTAGCGCAGCACTGAGAATTTACTTTTGGCGCAACGGAATTTATACAACTTTAAATTATTATTATTGTTTATTTTTTTCTTAGAAACTTATATTTTTTTTTTATATTTCTAATTTACAAGTATATTAACTTTATTATTATGTTTTTTTTATGCAAAAATTTCGTTGTATTTATGAGAAAATTAGAAATGATTATGGCAAAGTTTTGTTGAAATTTCGGGTTTAATTATGATTAATTTTTTAGATATTTAAGTTGAAAAAATGAAAAAAGGACGATGCTGTCTCAATTTATAAAGTAATTATCAAGTTTTAGTAAAGATATCATATCAATTTATGTTTGTTTATTAATGAACGACGACCCCAAACTTCTGTCTCTTAGCGTTTTTGAATAAACTATTTTAGAAATTAGGAAGACTAACAAAGAGAAAATTAACATTTCAAAGATGTTGTTTTTAAGATCAGATATCTATCTATATAATTCAGGAATCAAAATGTATATCCGACTCTTAATTTCTTAGAACCAGAACCCCAAAGACCCTGCTTTTAGGCCGAAAAATGTGAAAGGCCTCTTAAGAAAAATTATAATATATTTTGTAGGTTTTCCGTAGGAAAATTCCGTATTTCTAATTATAAAATAAATATTGTTTTTATTATATTTGAAATATTTTTAAATTGTATTCAACCATAGTTGCGCGCGTAATGTTACAATGTGACGAACGATCAAGGTCTATTTTCTATTATGCATTCTCGTCTCTGCATACTACACGGTCCTCACCCTAGCGGACGAGGGGGAAAGGGGATTGTTAGTAATGTGGACTAATAATCCTATTGCTAGCAATGTACCATGTCAGGTTGACCTCCACGCGGTTCCCCCTGGAAACCATCGTGATAAATTCTTGGTGAATTTGTCACGATGGGCTAACTAACCTAACCTCATAATAATATAATATAATAAAAATGAGTGTTTTTATTCGCCAACAAAATGCAAAGCAGTTTGGCGATAATTGTAAAAATAAATTGTATATTACATATATATGTACATTAAAAACTATACTTATAAATAAATTAAAAAATTACTTAATCTTATTTTCCTCCCCTGGTGCCCCGCCAGCGTAAGCCGTTTAGTGCAGGCAGCTGCACCATTCCATTATCATTCATAAAAAAAACACCCTAGTGGACGTTACCCCTCTGACGGCAGAAACCGCGATCTCGATAGGGATCGTCATGCATAAATAACAAGGACCGTATTTGAGTACTTTTTCATCAACTAGTTATTACTACAGGTTGTACCAATGTCTCGACGATCTGGAGTATTGGAGTGGTGCGAGGGCACGATTCCCATCGGTACCTATTTGACTGGAAGTAATGGAGCCCATGTACGTTACAGACCTCAGGTAAAACAATTATTTTATTATTGTTATAAAAGGAGCTAACGTTAAGAAATGTATAAGTACACACCAAATTGGCACCGTTTTATTCCTTGCGTGATGCATTGAATTTTAGTGTAGTATTTTGCATAATATCATCCAGCATTACAAATGAAGTATTAATGATCTTATATCCAAAAGTGACTTAAGTAGAGTAGTAATGTTTAGATTTCTATTTATTTTGATTTAGATATAAATAGTTATACTTTGATTATGCCGCAATATAACAATATCTACTAGAGTTATGGGATGTTTTCAGGATATAACAGGAAACGTTGCTCGGCAAAAATTTGCAAAATGTCATGAAGAGGGAAGAAGTAATGACATAAAATTGAGAGTTTTCCTAGGAATCTTAAAAGAATTTAAGCCGGTGTTCCATTACTTTTTTACGGAACACTATTTAGATCCGGTTACGTGGTATGAGCGGCGTTCATTATACACGAAAAGGTAAGATAAAACAAATTTATAATCGAAAACGGTTAGTAATTCGAAATTCTAAACATCTATTTGTATATAATTATTCTTCTTCCAGTGTCGCTGCGTCTTCTATGGTGGGTTACATATTGGGATTGGGTGACAGACATGTACAGAATATTTTAATTGATAAAAAAAGCGCGGAAGTGATACACATAGACTTTGGTAAGGGTAAAATACGCCTACAATAATCTGTAAAAAAAGACATAAATATTATTTGAATATTTATATCTTTTTTTTACAGATTATTGTTTACTCAATATGTATTGTGAACTATACATATTTGAGTATTTTTTTGCAGATTATCGTAGTCTATTGTCAAATTAAATAATTACAAATTGCAATAATTTTATGATCGTACTATGAATGAGTCGTGTCGTATCAAGAATTAAAGAGCATGATGGAAGATCGCGGAAAGTGGCAAGAGCTCCACCGACAAGAGCGTAGCTCTTAAATTATGAATGAATGAACTATGAATGAAATAACTCAGTTCTGTAATATCTCCATGTAGTATGAGCAATTGTAGTTTTTTGGCTTCAGCATATTTAAATTTTTACCCACACCACCTTATTAAAAAAGATATCTCATGTGATTAGGTGACAGACTAATATGATATTGCGATACAAACATGTTATTTATTACAGGTTATGCTTTTGACCAGGGTAAAATTTTAAGAACCCCAGAAACAGTACCGTTTCGTTTGACACAAGACATTATCGCTGGATTTGGCTGTAGCGGCGTTGAGGGAATATTTAGAAGGTAATTGCACCGTAACGGTTATATGTGATGGGAGCATAGTGATTATAATTTGTTGCCAGATGCTGAATTAAGTTGCAGTAATTCAGCAATATAAAGTTTCTACGGTAAAAGAAATATCGATATTAAACTAAAAAATTATCCGTGAGACGGCGGTAGACTATCCCCTCTTTTTTTACGTGGGGAAAATCCCCCATGGAGACTCGTCCATCTCAGGGGTTAGGTGGACCGCCACCACCTTCTGCGAGTTATCTCGCAGAATATTACAAACGGCAAAAAAATCCTATGAAGTAATATAAATGTGTTGTTGTTTTAGTACGCACGTTTTCTGTTATTACATTAATTTTTATTTTCTAGATGCTGCGAAAAAACAATGCAGCTGCTCAGAGATAATCAGGAGACCTTATTGACAATACTGGAAGTGTTGTTATGTGATCCATTATACTCGTTGACATCTAGGCAAAATGTCCAATCTGCCGCAGGAAACGCTGCCGTCTGTAAGTGATTTAAGTGGTTAAATACTTGCTTCATTTCGCACTTATTGATTATTTTCCATAATAATCTTGAAGCTATTCGTTAATCTCTCTAAAAACGAGTTGCGTTGCGATTTGCAGCACCTTCCACCTTCCATTACATATAACCCATACTCTCATATATTTTCTTAGCTTTAACCTTCAAGTTTAGATTTAGTGAATAACAAGTAAAATCTTAATAATAGAAATTCATGTAATGATAACAAAGACAATTCAATTTGACTTCACATTCTTATGAGAAGGATTACTAATTATTTGGAGTATGAATTTAAGAAGATAGGTAGAATGAAATGTCGTCTGCGTGAAACCTCAGACCTATTTTAGCCGCTAGCTACCTTGCAAAGCAAGCTTGGTTTAGTTGTAATTAGACAGTGAAATTATAGGATAAGAGGTATCACGTCTCAGTCGTTTGGAATGGCAACGCATGAGCCATGGGTCATGGGTAGTAGTAGTATCACATGTTAAAAATCAGACAAGGTAAGTCGGTAGAAATGACACCATTTTGTGTATGAACTGGCCATTGGGTATAGTGGAAAGACAAGACAACTTATAATGAATAAAAAAGGATGTACAATAATCATTATACACAAGCATAGTTGAAAATTTTACTCATTGAAAGAGTCTAAAATATTCAATAAATTTTCCTGACATTTTTGTTTCAAGATATGGCTGGTTCAGATAGGCATCATTTGGCTGAGCGAGCGTTATTAGCAGTGAACAGCAAGCTTAGCGGGACCGAGGGAGGCATCGCCGGTGGAGTCTCGGTGCCAGGCCAAGTGGCTCGCTTGATACATACAGCAACTGATCCAGCTAACCTGTGTCGCCTCTTTCCAGGGTGGCAACCCTACTTATAAATTATTGAAATGATGTAATCATTAATACATAAATGTGATGACAATATTCACTGCTTGTAGCTATCTAAATGAACCAATTCATTTTTTAATTTTATATAGGATATTTACAAATTTGTGTGCAAAAAATGTCTAACATTTTTGCTGCCTATTTTATTGTTATTGTATGAATAAACAAATAAAAATATAATCGCTAATAATACTGTTATTTATCTTACATGAAGTATATGGACCGCGGGTAGCAAACGCGAACCCACTATATTTAGGACTAGTGCCCGCCAGTTCGTTTTGATGTGGTTATGGAATCCTATTATTTGGTATTCGTTGTTAACAAATCAAACGACAATAAATAAAACATCTATATGTGGACATTATCTTATTAGTAAACAAAAACGAGCGTTCGATGGCAAAAGAAATCTTCTAAGCCAAATGGAAAAAAGTATGTAACTTCCATATAATCACAGTGCAGTTAGTTTAATCCTGATTATAATATTCCGCAATACTATATTGCGAATTAGTTCTCTATTCGTCTCAAGTCCGAGAAGGGAGTCGCTGGTTAATCTCATAGTTCTCTATTTTGTCTCGCTAATAATAGTTCGCGCCTGAAATCAGGCAATTTATGATACGAATTAGTTCGTTTGCTCCCAATTCAATGCAGAGAAACTCGAGACTCTATAAGTGGCGTTTTTTTTTATGTCGCAAATATTTTTATATTTCTATAAGCCTCAAGAATAGTAATCCCTAAATTTTTCCGAGTAACTATTTTTAAGAGGCCTTTCACATTTTTTGACGTAAAAGCGGGATCTTTGGGGTTCTGGTTCTAAGAAATTAAGAGTCGGATATACATTTTGATTCCTGAATTATATAGATAGATATCTAATCTTAAAAACAACATCTTTGATATCATTTCTAAAATAGTTTATTCAAAAACGTTAAGAGACAGAAGTTTGAGGTCGTTGTTCATTAATAAACAAACATAAATTGATATGATATCTGTACTAAAACTTGATAATTACTTCATAAATTGAGACAGCATCGTCCTTTTTTTCATTTTCAACTTAAATATCTAAAAAATTGATCATAATGAAACCTGAAATTTCAACAAAACTTTGCCATAATCATTTCTAATTTTCTCATAAATACAACGAAATTTTTGCATAAAAAAAACATAATAATAAAGTTAATATACTTGTAAATTAGAAATATAAAAAAAATATATAAGTTTCTAAGAAAAATATAAACAATGATAATAATTTAAAGTTGTATAAATTCCGTTGCGCCAAAAGTAAATTCTCAGTGCTGCGCTAGCGCTCGTCGAAGTAGGATCTATGCTATTTTTTACGACACCGCTACGATAAGACATTCGTAAACATTTGTCAGTGAACATTAGTATAGTGCGACTAAACAAGTTTGATAATTTAAGCAATATTTAATTAATTTTGCTAATACATACTTATTTCTACGAATATTAATTTAAAGTTGTTATATATATATAATATTTATTTTAGCATACCAAGACAAAAGTACAGTTATGCTACAAATAAAACCTACCTACTCCGCTGCAGTATGAATAGCACAAGAGCGTGGTATTTCGTCACACTAATGGCAATTAATTGTTAATATTAAAAAAAAACATTTTAGTATTTTTAAAAAGAACGCTTAACTGAGAGAAAAATGTAAGAAAATGTAAACGAATTTTACTTTATGTTTATTTTGTAGATTTTTCTAAATTAAAATAGGGTTATTGTTTATAAAAATACCATTATTATTTTTACGTACATTTGTCTTGTGTTATATTATCTAGTATGCAATGTGGATTGTAAATAAATTACCAAATTATATATAAATTATATTCCCTAATGTTTAGAGATATTTTATCCAATTTACTTTATTTCATTTTACACAATACAGATATTTCTAAATTGCAGCCATTGTGTTATTATACTCGTTGGACTTTCATTACTGTACAGTTATGTCAAATAATATGTATTTGGGTGAAAAGTCTACAACTTTATGAATGTTTTTATTTAGAGACTAGCTTGCAGCTCGCGGCTTCGCTCGCGTGAACATGGAATATATAGGTTATCGCGCGTTTAAAGATCCGTGTACACTATTGGGACGTTATATATAAACCTTCCTCTTGAGTCTATCTATTCTGTCTGTTAAATAACAAAGAATCAAAATCTGCGTAGTTTTTTAAGATCAAAACATACATAGATCTATTACATGTGTAGAAGATATTTTAACCGGAAATTGAAGCCGTTAAAATGGTATTGGCAGATCAGTTGGAATCATCGGTATTCTTGAGCTGGTTGCCCAGGTAACGTACCGGTTTTAATGGTCTACAATTAAATTGTCTTTCAATTCTTTAGTAAGCAATATATCCAATGGGACGCCATTGCACATGTTCAGCGGGCTTAAATTTCATGATTGGATCATGCTTTTGAGAAATTCCTTCCTCAAGTTTGAGCAGTTAGTGTAGGAAATCACTATCTGTGCTTCCATAAAAATGAGCTCTCATATTTGTCAGTAGTTTCAAACTTTAATTTAAAGTCCATAATGACACAGAGAGTCTTTCAGAAATCTCCAGTAAAAACTATAAAAGTAATCCCGCCAATGAGAGCAGAGGTGTTTCTAAGGTATTTTAAGGTTCTGTCCAAAACCTCTATAGCTCATGGTGATTTCATTACATATAATCAATGAGGCGTCTTGTAATAATTTATAAAAAAATTTGATATTAGCTCGTAATTATTTGTCAAGAATCAAGAATCGGCCAACCAAGAACGTGAAGCTGCAATATCAGCCAATATCATGCGGCGACGTCAATGATGCAGGAACAGTAATGATAGCAGTTGAAGCTCTTTTTATACAACTTAGAACAACAAACAAGCTGACGGCTCTCCTGATGGAAAGGGGTAACCGTCGCCTATAGACATGAGCAGTACCTGACATGTTCATATCCGCATATTGTTTCCCCATGATCCCCCCATGCGTTGCCATTCCTGAGAACTCGGGTGTTATTCCCCTGTACCCTGTAAATTCACTGCCATATATATACACAGATAGTCTATATAGATAAATAGTATACCCTGAGAAAGGTCATAGACTATTTCATAGTGCGAAAAAAGGGTTGTAAGGGATTGAAAGCGGAGATGAAAAATTGTATAAAAGTATCGTCATTGTTTAAGTGAAACAATGAAACTTTTTTGCGTTATAATCAAAATAAATTTCCTTTATTTGGTCAATTTCATTATACCACGCTGACGAAGTCGCGGACACACCTAATATACATATAAGGATGGGACCTTTAAATCGAAACAAAGCTATGAAAACGCAACTATTATATATAAATAAAATAATTTTTTGCCTAAGTTTAATATTTAGAACAAGTGAATATGGCAATAATGTATCCGACTCTTATAATAAATTATATTGTACTTATTAATAAATAAATTGAATTAATATATAAGAGTAATTAATTAGTAAATTTGTGTTATAGTAATTTCATCTTCCTGCCAAATCCTTATCCCAATTATTTGTTACTCATATTACTTAAGGTTTTGGCTTTTAGTTGTACAATCGGCCAGCATCCTGACATCAACCCTCTAGGAATAATATAATAAAAAAATATGGTTATTATTAGCACTTTGATAATTAAGATAAATCACGTTATTTAAAAAAATCCAATAAGTACGTTAGTTACTCAGTTAAGTAAAAACATATCACATTATTAATTAAAATATTACAAGGATCAAAATGGTTCATACTAAATCCACACCGATTGCGCTACACGTTTATTTGCGTCTGTGTGCGTGTATTACTGTGTGTGTGCGTAAATCCATGCGATTAAACCTAAAGTTGAGCGGCATGATTTTGTAATAGGCCTCTTAATAATAGAGTTGTATTTTATCATAGGAAATAAAGGACGAAGGATCACACTTACGAACTACAATAAGTTTACATTACATTAACATAAAACTACAATAAGTATTTTTGTTTTATATTTTAGCCTGCAAATGTGAGCTGTTTTATTTTAACAAGACATCTACATTTTATAAAAAGAACTAAAGAGCGGCAGATTAGCGAACTAGTTCGTTTGCGAACTACAAACAAAAAATTAGGCAAATGTCACCGTTGTCAGTTGTCATGGTAACAAGCGAAGTACAACAATACAATATAATTTATAATCTTAATATTTCTAAATAATTTAAAAGTAACATATAGTTTCGTATTGTTATTATACGACGACAACTGATGGCAGAACTGCATATATTGGGACAATTGCAGTGTGCGTCCAATTTTGAAGAATCCACTTCACTCTTGTGTCGCTATACGTTTCAGACCGGTTTGTTTACCTTTGGCTTTCAATAATAATCTATCAAACCTCGGTAATGAGTTAAGTAGCCCCTTTTTTTACACGCTCTTGATCAATGTTGGCGCAATAAAACATTATATATACACATTTATATTGTATACAAATTCATCTGAAGTTGCAATATAGTATTTAATGATTATCTTTTTTATAATAAATATTTCAGGTCCTAACTGGACAATTATATCTGGATGTCCAGAGGGACAGACTACCTCAGCAGATCCTGATCATAATAAGTCAAATATTTGGGCTCATCCAATTGACATCCATTATATTACAAAAGGGATTCAGGGTAAGAGAAAAGTTAGCAATAGTATTCAGAAAATAGGCAGCTCAATCATTTACATGTAGTATTAATATAAAGTGACCTTTGAAATGTTCTCAAGTTGAGGATGTCATCCATAACTAAATGCACCAGTACAAACATAAAATGTAAAACATATTAATTACTATTTGTATTTTAAATTTGAAACCGAAAGAATCTGACTAATGAATTGGTACTAATAAAAAACAAAAGACATATTTTAAATTACCTTTAAAATTATTAAAACAAGTGACAGATTTTTTATTGTATGCTGCTGTCTAACTTCTAGGATGGCCTAAACTAATAGTGCAGGTGAGTTGTTTGGACTTGCTTGGCCGTTCGTGGGTAGTGGGTTACAGTTGCTGTAGCCTGCCAGTTGCACCTGGACATCATACATTACAAGTACCTTGTTGGGAGCCTGTGGGTACCACATTGACAGAGAGGATTCGTCAATATTTTCTTGGTGGATCACATCAACTTTTACAAAAGGATATAATTAATTTAGGAACAGACAGGTGATTATATTATTAGTACTACAACAGTAATTAAATTTACCCATACCTAGTTATACTAAATATAAACTTTAGAATTTATAATAAAGATTTTTAGTAATACAATGTTGAAGTAATAGTAATATAGATAAACAATAAATGTTTCAATAAATATATTTATTAAAATATTGATTTTTAGGTTTAAATTAAAAACTAAATCAAAAGGATCAGTAAAATTGCAAATTGAATTAATCTTAAGAAATTTCACTCAGTTTGGTGTAGAATATAAGTGAAATAAAAAAAAATGAAGATAATGGCGTACCTTGGTATTACAGTATTATCTATATTAATTCAATTTAGTTTTATGGATTATATTGATGAGAACAATATGCAGCTAGATGAAGATTTAAAAAACATATTTGATCTCAATATTACTAGTCACAAGAAACACTTAAATAAAGTTATGTTTAAAAATTTTGTTCAAAAGCGTCATGCCTTTTATTACCCTGCAACTCTAAAGAGAGCTAATTCTTCGCCAATCAATAATTCAACATTGGCAGAAGTGCCATTAGAAACTAGCACAGATTATTCAACTACAGTGGCGGATGAACTATACGAGGATAATGTGACCAATACAGATGTAGTTTACTCCACTACAGAAATTGCAAATGAAACCGAGACAACATTAATTTATGAAAAAAATATTACAACGATACCAAAGCTACCAAAGAGAAATATTGATATGGAATGCAGATGTAACTTAATGGTAAATATCAACCTCTGATAATTTGTAATAATTGTTGTCTTTATATGTACATATGTACCTATATATACAAATCTGTACCCACGATTTCTGCCCGAAATGAACTCCGAAACTACTTAACTCTCTTTAAGAAATTCGGCTAATTGAGTAAATTCTCAATGATCTCAATTTTACAACTAATCCCCAGGCGCGAGTGTTCAGATACTTTCATATAAGAATAAAAGCTTAATAATTAAACGATTAAAATTATGCGCCGCCATATTTACGAGTATACTGCGGCGCCTTCACCTTAATCAATAATAATTTAAGGGAAGTTCCATAGTGTTGAAGGTCGTCGTGATATAATGGTTTACTCGACCGTAAGTTCAAATCTGGTCGATATCAAATAACTTTGTGTTAATTTATATTTCTTACCGAGTTTCCGATGGAAATTTTGATAACTAATCAACTCATTTAAGAAACGGCGGTATGTTTGAGGCCTGCCACGTTGGTTTAAATATAGCCAGCGAAATTTGGGAATGTTAAGTGTTAAGTTTACCTCAACGTCGACAATTAATGATGTCTCAGACTACACCATAAAGTATAATAGTAGTTTGTTTATTCAGAGCCTTTTCAGCCTTTCAATCTGTACGTACATGTTAGTTTTATTTTATTTCGATATTCATATTCATTTTGGAGGGAAGGTAATTATTACTGGGTACCTAATGTCCCAATTATTACTTACTGTCAGGTTGACCTACCTCCTCCTTCCTCAGGAAACTGTCGTGGTAGGTAATTGATTTGACTTTATGCACGTTCTAACATTCTCCACTGGTGCTTCGACATCGCATGCCACCATATCATCCAATAAAAAAACAAGTCAAGGCACCTACGTATTAGTATACCCTTAAATTGTTTTTCAGTACAAAGTGTGTGATATTAATTGTTGCTGTGATAGCGATTGTTCAGATAGTGATATAAAGATGTTTGTTATTTGTAACGAAAACATAAACAGAAATACTGAACAAAGTGGATACTCTTGCTATCCTGATACCACAAACATGTATGCACTATCTAGAAGTAATACAGTTGCAAATTTATTTTGTGTTGTCAAAAGCAATTTACCCGTTAAACGGAACATCAAAATACAAACGGTAAGTTAGTAAACAGAATTTATTGTACTTTTATAAAAGAAATTAGATAAACATCTATATATACATATAAGGCAATACTTTTGTCTGTCCATTTGATTATATGCAAACTTCACAAATCAGATTTGATAAGAAAGTGTATATCATATTGACGTCAACTTGTATCTATGGTGTAATTGGTGTGTAGGTATATGATGTATTGGTTTTTAACGCTTTGAAATATGATTTCTATTTCATCTTGGGTATATAATTTGATGTTTAATTTTGCATGTACAGAAAACATGCATGCTTAATAAGATCAATAGCTAATTTAAGAATGTCATTTAATTGTATACTTTATAATTCTTTCAATTGCGATTAAACATCTAATGAACAAGTTTTTTATAGAATCATTATTCTTGGTTCTTTTAAAATATCTGGAATCAATTGTAATGTTAGATGCAGATTTGATTTTGTAAGAAAAAAACTCAGGGTCTTGTTTGTATTTTTCAGTATGATGCCACTGCAATTGATAGATCTTACAAATGGCACATGGATATTAAACATAGACATGTGAACGTGTTTAAAATGCAGCCTTATTATTATGGAGATCCATTGTGGGTTCTCAAAAATGGAAATATAAGATACATGGGTAAATCACTATTATTGCTTAATATTACTGCTTACACTGTTAATTTCCTTTACTTCAAATACAAAGTGCTTGAAAACATGAAGGTATAACAATAGCTCAGTCAAGTTAACAACCATTTGAAACTTATGAGGTATCAGAGATAGACCCTAGGCTATATAATACAGCCTGTATGACGCTATTTTAGTAATAACAAAAAATTACTTTCAATTAGAGACTAAGCAAACACTAGTACAAATAGGTTAAATTCTCTTCTATAGTTGACACTGGTCCAGTAGGACGATAGTGGGACCCAGGCCTAAACACTTATCCACAGTATCTATTCTATAAAAAAAATCCTAGCTTTTTAAATACGAATGCATCACCATTAAAACAGTACTTTTGATTGTATCTCGAAAAAGACTAGATTATTCAATAAACATTTATTTCAGATTTACCATGGCCTATTGTGAACAATTATTGTACGGGTAGAAGACCTATAAAATTTTTAATTGACGAAACAGTAACTTGTAAAGTTAATTTAAAGGATCTCGAAATGTTTCATATTCTGAAGGCTTCAGAAGACGTGAGCCTCATTAGTGTTGTAAAAAATTCGTCGATAACTCTCAATATGGTAATTATATAAATAGATTTAGATAAGGAATATCATTGAATAATTATTGTAAGTAAGACTTAGAGTGACTGAAGCTAGATTGTTATGTATGAGAGTGAGAGATGCTTCTTATTGAAATTATTATGTGAAGTGATTTTTTTTTCTGTAATACTATTGTGTAGTACTTCTTCCATAATGTGATTTGTATTTTTTTCAGAATTGTACAAATCTTCATTGTGTTAATTGGACTATTATTGCGTGTAACGATATGCAGTGTGTACCTTATAACAAAACTTTACATGAGCCATTATGTTCTGACAGTTACTGCAAGAACATTGCATTTCAGTTTGATTATATTTTTTATTATTATGAATCAAAGATAATTAATGCAACCATAAAACTGTATATACAGGAAATATCGACAGCCATACCATTTTTACAACAAAAAATTGACATAAGATTTGTAATCACCAATGAAACGATAGATAAGATCATTAAAGTAAGTGGAAATCCTGGTTATGTGAGTGGTCTACCTATATTAATATCATTGACAGAAAGTAATCACAGTTATAATTTTTTTAATAACACATCAACAAACAAGATTTACCTATCCTATCCTACAAATAAAAATGGAAAATGTATATTCTCAAATGTTACTAATAATTTAGTAACTTTCCAGTTTAACAAAAGAATGAAATGTCGTTATCAACATGCTGTTAACGTTACTGCTTACAGTGATAGAGAGACTTGTAAAACACTTCAAGATAGTATACATGAATTGTTAGGATTGCAACATAATATTGTTATATCCCCCTATGGAAATTCACTTAACGTTAAAGACGACGAATGGATTCCATTGCAAAAAAACATTCCTGATAAAAATATTGTTTATGGTGATTATGATACACAAAACTCAAAACTAAATTGTTACAATATAATAACTGGGATTTCATTAATATTATCTTATGCCGACATCAGCGAAAAGGATGGTGCAAAATTATTAACTGCTAAACTGGACACAAATATTAGAAATATAAGTATGAACGTTGAAATCACAGACATTTCTACAGTATTAACTGTGGACACAATATTCATAGACCAAACAAAGCCGAGTGCATATGAATATGCAGCGGGGCCACAATTGAATATTCACTTGCCAGACGATTTCTTTTTCCCTTTTCCTTCCAATGGATCTTCAATCAATGGTTATCACGTACCGTACCTTGTTGTTTACTTTGTACTGCTATTTACAACTTATCAAATAAAATAACTTGTGATATAACTATTAATTTTATTTTGAAATAATTTAAATACTTTTGTTACTTCTATCACTTCTAACTTGGCATCCACCTTTCAAGGGCTTGAGATTCATGGCCTGAAAATAAAACTCATTTTAGGATACTGCCATTGTACCCATGTGTTAGAAGTGGTTAGAAGTCTTTGTAAAAATACGTCAACAACGGGTAACAAAGTATAAATTGAAAGATCTAGGTTAGAAAAGAAGTTTTTAATATAGCTGATTCAGTAAATGAGAAACACCAACATAATAGCTGCCGTACGCAATTCGGAACTAAAGTTACCGCTATTTACAATATTTTTACATTAACAAAATCAATTTTTATTTTTGATTAATCCTATTTTATACTTCTCCATTCATAACATACATTTTATAGACGTCTACTGAACCTGATGTACAGGAAGTACATATAGCTATGTTTATTACACCTCACGAGACCCACACTGTATAAAGACTTACAAAGAGTCAGGATATTGATAGATATTATTTATTTTTAAGGGAACTTGCTAAGAATCGAGTGCTACGTGCTGGGGCCGGTTAAATAAAAACGTGTTTTAAAAATATTACGAAAAAGTATATCGAAGTAAGCATCTAACAGGAATGTAACCCTTTCCATTTAATAATAACGATAAATTAAGGCAAATACTAGCTGTTATTTTAGTGTATTAGAAAAAACGAACCCGGTTGATCTATTATAGTTTCTTAGTACTATTACTTATGAATATATTGTATCCCCTTTTAAAGTTGTTTATACTTTATCTACTACTTACGAAACATTACATACCAGTATCGAGTGACAAAAATCGACCCAACGAATCAGATGCATGAACCGGGAGTCCCATAGGTTTAACATTTCAGATAATCTCAAAATAGATTTTGGCCATAATTACTACTGACACTGATACGCTGCGAAGGGAGTCCGCATAATGTGCCTATTTAAATTTAAACAAATAAGTATATTTAAATAATTATAAAATTCTATAATATTCGATTTAATTTATGTAATGTTATTTTAAAGATATTACTTAATAGTTTATACATTTTAGACATAGTTTTATTTTGCAATCTAATTCAATAAAATTAAAGGTGTGTTTCAGACCCTAATTCCAATAATCATAACATTATATATATGTTATTAGAGATATTAAGTGCTAGCACTTATGTCGATAGGGTTAAAGAACACACAAATACGATCACACTATATGGATTGTTTTTTTAAATTCTGTACAAACCTATTACTTTGTCCAGTAATGTTTACGAGAGGCTAGGGTCTAAATTTATTCGAAATAAGATAGGGGTTAAACATCATTACACCGCACATTATATCGCACTAGGTTCTCTGTGATATGGAAAATGTAAGAAGAAAAAAAAGTTTGCACTGCTCGGTGATTTTTATCTGCATAGTTATTTTAACAGGTTCAAGACTAATTACTACTTTGAAATCTTATCATTAGTTTATTAATAATAGAGTTCATTTCAAAACGAGTATGCATATTTTGTCTGTGCAGTGTGTCTCTTATTATAATTGTTGACTGCACCGACTTAAGCACCTTTATAAATTCGTGTAATTTACACAATAATGAAGTGCAGGACTATACATACTCAATTCTAAGAACTAAAGTAACAGACGGAAGAAATGCGGTCCATAGTCGCTGGGCGTTAACTGTGACAATTTTTGATAATTATTGTACAAGTAATTTAATCAATCACAAATGAGATTCCATGGAGTGAAGTATTAATTGCCTAATTTAATACGAGTCATTATACCAAGTAAGTCTCGTTAGGTGTGGACATAGCATTTATCTCTGTATTCTCGCTACGAACCTATGCGACGTAAGTGTAAACTTTGCGATCATCCGGCGTACGCGCGAGATACTCGCGCTCGATGAGTCCCTCGATGCGTTTCTTGATAACTACTGGAGATGGCAGGAACCGTGCGCGGAGCTGTTCTGTCACTTCCGCCACCAACAACGTGTGCTAAAAGAATTCATTATATAATAATTTGCTAATGTGATTTAATTAAAAATCTTGTCAAACCTTACCTCCCTAGTATTTATTGTGAAATAGGATTTTTTTCTGTAATTGGAATGGTCGACAAACTGTCGGCCCTCTTGGTGGTAAGTGGTAACCGTCAGCTATATACATGAACAGCATCATTGACACACCAAGATGTCGGGCCTCATATACAGTGGCACTGCCTCACCCTTCAAGCGAAACACAGATTACAACGACTGAAGTAGGTGACTCTATGGTAACAATTTAAATGTGTATGTTATAATTAAATGGTGGTAATAAATTAACTATGTTTTACTTTATCTCAAATACTATAGATTTACTAAATTTATGTCGTCTTAACAAGTCTGAGAGATAACTAAAGAAACAATAACTTGCACATATATAATAATGTCGATAAGAATGTACAAAACTTACCGCCATTTTCTTTCTGGCTTTCATTATGCGCACGATGGCCGCTTCGATTTCATGTTTACGATCCTCGTCCACTTTGTTGCGTGTCTCTCGTCGTTCGGGCTCTGATTCGCCCTTAGCTGCTACTGTTTGGATCTTCACTCTAGATCATACACATAATAATAATATATATTGGAACGAAATAATAAAATAAAATATTTGATATATTACATATACAGTAAAATAAAATAAATTAATTAAAAACGTATATATTATTTACATATATAATGAATTTAGACTATTTTGAATATTTGAACAACAAAAATGAATGATGATGGGAAATTATTAGTTTTTGTCAACTATCTTCATTCATATATGTACTCATAACATTTAATTTAAAATACATTTATTAATTTTTCAATTAGTTTTACTTTTCATGCTTTATGACATTGAATCGTGCATATACCAAAACAAACAATTACTATATTTATGATAATTATTCATATTATAATGCTATACCTGTACAGTTTAGACGTGAAGGCATCGTTAACGTAGAATTGATGAGATGGTTCTATTTCCTTAGTCTTGGGATGTTTAATGAGTACTCTTTGTGTTGGTTTTCCCATCGCTAACGACTGTAGTGCGCGGACGAGGTCCTTCTCCGGAATATCAGTCTCGTTGAGTATTTCCTGTAATTGTGAGGATATCATAACACAAACAAACATACTCATAGTATATAAAATAATATTCCTATTACAGTTTTCTATTAAGATTATACAGCATATCTTTAAATACACCACTTGTTTAGGAGCAATTACTGGGGTCTAATATTTTGTCACGTTTATTGGGGTCTAAATATTTGTGCAGCGTATTGCATTTCTATTTAACAACATAACAGATTCATTAAAATCTAATCTAAATTTGTATTTCTTTAAAATTATGCATGTATGTAAAAAACACTTACACCACATATATGGAAGAACGGGATGTACCTGACACGAGCATCGCTTACTAGTCATCCCAACAAATTCCATAGCTTCGTACAAAATAAACAAAAATATTATGGGCGTACCTCGTAAGTGAGCCTCTCGCGCTTGTTGAAGAGCAGCAGCACGCACATCTGGAAGGGCGAGACCTGTATGATGTGTCGTCGCGGGGCGGGAGCGGGAGCGGGCGCGGCAGGCGGCGCCTCGTGCTGGTCGCGCGGCGAGCGCGGCGGGGAGGCCGGGCCTCCGCCCGCCGCCGCCGCCCCGCGGAACGTCGCGTGCAGGTCCACGTTGCCCAGCTGCGGCTGCAGCGACAGCTGCCGCCCCGAGTGTTTCGCCAGGTAGAAGCTGCCCGCCGAACAGGGAAACCGACTTGCTTAAGTATTTATGTAAGTGCCATTGTAAGGATGTATGTATTAAGTAAGTAGTATATGAACATTGATTATAGTAATAAACCATGCAGTATACACTCAAATGTAACCTAACCTAACACTCGCTTAACAAGTACCACCCTTATATACTTGGAGATCCAAATAAAAAAAAAATTGTAACAAAAGTTTTAAAAACATATATAAAATGATAAAGATTTTATTTACCATCTACCTCCTGCTCTACAGTATAACCGCGATTGTGGCGGTTGAAATACTGCCGAAATATCAGGAACTCTTATTGGAGATGATCAGGTCTTCTCATATTTCACTATTCCTAAGATGCTATAACTCTGTAGTCTGCGTTCTTTAATTTTATATGTGATAAAATACTATCATAAATATGATTTTCAATAGTTTCGCTCTGATAAAGATCATATAAATATTCTGTACGTACCTTCTAAAGACATCGAAAGCATTTCTAGGTGCGATGGGTATATTACACTTGGGCGTGACGCTCTGTGTCGGCCACAGTCCAGTAGTGAGTACTCGCACGGACAGATCTACCCCATGAAGATTGGTCTGCTGACAAATCGGATTTTTAATTATTTGTTGTATTGTCTCCCTAAGAATAAGCTTGTCTAATTAAATTAAGACCTCATGACTTAAAGCAATATAAACAACCATATATCCAAAGGTTTGTTTTAGGCAGGACCGATATTATGGAATGTTGGGACATGATCAGAAAACTTGTCTGTCTTGTCAGGTTGACAATAATCTTCTATATTATTAATATCATATACAGTAAAAACGTATCTTTTGTCTATTCTAATATTACAAATGTTAAAGTATGTATTGTTTTTTATCACCAAGTTTAAGGCCGCCGTCATTGGGCACACATACAGTATTTGGAGGTGAAAAGAATATAGGCAAATATTTATTAGGTCATTCTATTCACTTAAAAAATGTTGAGTATATTTAATTATTTTGTTCATATCTCACCCCGGTTGACAGCACATGCTCTTTAAATTCTTCCATGATGGTATTGGAAACTGTCATGTCCTTGAACATGCCTTCAAGTTTGGATGTGAACTGGCTACCGCACTCAGTCTGGAAATTTAAATTATTATTATTACACAGCCTAATTTTCATTATTAATTATAGACAGTTGGATGATTTTGTATATCTTATGAGGATTGGTACTATCATAAAGTCTACGGAAATATTTAAATGCCGGATTAAATTGTTATTTTAAAAACAAACTAAACCTAGGGCCATTTTGATGCTAGAAGGTTCACACTCCTGTTCAAAAATCTTTTCTTGCTTACTCATTATCAATATTATTAAGTAGGCTTCTAAACAATTACGACTAAACGACGCATAATCCACACTGTACCGGGGGTAAAACTAGGATAATAAAATGCCCTGACTTAAGGCTAAAATCCCACGTTACTTTAAAAATAGGCGCAGTACCTAATGTGACAAAACAGATAACACTCTTGCTTTTCAGTAGGAGACATTTGACACTACCAAACTATTACACCATATAACTATGCCATACAGTTTTAAGAAATCCTGCTTAAAGTCTTTTCTGCAAAATTCTTTACTTGTTCAAGAACCTGTTAATTAAAAACTCTACACCTTTTAACAATATTATATTTAGTTGTTGCAAGAAATGAAATAAAAGGAACATAGCAAAGAATAAACTAAATGCAAAGGACTTTAAGCATGATTTTGTATAATAGAACTTACAATGAACTTGTATAAAAAGTTCGAAACACTCACAAGTTATTGTTTATGGGTAATGGTAAAGAATTTTGCAGAATGTGGGTAGGGCGAGGGCAAGGAAGACACATCATAAATAACTGACTGAATTCTCAATCTGAGAGACATCACCAATCATACAGTGAAAGTCTCGTGGTTCCACATCTCTTAACATACCTTCTTTCTGGGAAAGGCAAGAATCAATCATAATACTATGAATTATAATTAATTACAAAGTGTATTTTTTTGGTATGTGTTAGTAATGCATGTAAAATAGAATATATCATCATCCAAGCTCTATTCCATGAAATATTCGCAGAGCTAGCTTCGGATGCAGCCAAGTTATTGTTTTGGATGGTATTTATTAAGTTTTTTAGGTTGGTTTTCATTTTATTCTTGTTAATTAGTATAGGGATTTTCATCATTCCTTTTTTTGTACAAAATAAAAAATTGTTTTTAATGCAACTGGAATGGTAACGAAGTTGACGGCACACTTCATTGTAATTGGTAACTGTCTCGCCACGGCCACATTAGCATGTGACGCCTGTGACATGAGTTATGTGTCAAACTAAGTTGTGATGCCTCCATGCCTTCATTTCACTTCCTTATCTCAAACACAGCTTACAAAGTCAGCTGCTTTACAGCTGGAACAGGTCAGACAGAGGTCGCGCAGACAACTCTGTACAAAGTCTAACTCGTTGGAGAGAGAGAGAGACAGAAACACAGAAAAACAGTAAGTGCAAGTGTTGCTGTATGTCCGCCACCTACTGGCACTAAGCTTACTAAGCACGCCGACTGGCACTTGCCTCTTAAACTTTCGCTCGGGTCTTAAATCCTGGGTACTGCCTGGTGAATCAATAGAATCCTAAGAAGTTTGTCTCGACATAAAATGCTACATACCTTCAGTTTGGAGATCATATTCTTCTCGCTATCATCAGACACAGATTTATTGAGCAACAGTCGCTTGGCTAAGTGTTGTTTGTAATATCGTTCAAATACATCTTTTTCTTGAAGAAAACGGAAAAGCACCATTGTTTTGTCAAGAACTGCCTCAATTTCTTGTTCACTCATCTGGAACAGGTATGAAACAATAGTAGATGACAAGTATAAAATAAAAATATTTATCTTTTTTTAAATAATAATATGGATACATACACAAACGCTATCATATACAGTACACCCATTGGGAGCAAGTTGCTAAATTTTTATAATTAAGGATGATATAGAGAAGCATTATTTTTTTTAAGTTCAATAATAATTAAATAATATAATACTGATAATAGCATCACTGGTGTTGCTACTATGTTATGCCCTAAGGAATCTATTACAATATGTATATTACTGTGTTCATATTTAGTAAATAATGTTACCAATACTAATAAATATTTATACGTACGCCTTTTTCTCCTTTTTTCAGTTTACCGTCGATGAATAGCGACAAGAACTCAGGGGATTTATTATTTAAATTAAGAAAATATTCAAAGTCAGAAGCAATCATATGTTTAAATATCTTATCATTATTGAATGAATTCTGCAAAAAGTGATCAAATCTTGCTTTGAGATCAAGTAAATTCTGTAACAAAAAAGTACAAATTAATAAAGTGAAGATCAATTAGGAATTGCAAAGTTACTTGTGCATGGTTGTACACGTAGATATGTAGACGAGGACATATATATGTATGTGTATATGTTAGAGCTGATAGTAACGGTCTTCTGAGTGTGAGAATGAATGTGAGTGAGTGCAGACACAGAAGTGACAGTGTTGTTGTGGTTATTCGAGTCCAGCTGACCCGCGCAACTTCGTTTGCGTTTCCATTTCCCCACCTTTTGCAATATTTTTCATTGCAGCTCCGCTCCTACTCGTCGTAACGTAATGTTATATAGCTTAAAGCCTTACTTGACAAATGGACTATCCAATACAAAAATAATTTTGTTTTTGAATCCATAGTTCTTGAGATTAGCGCGTTCAAATAAACAAACAAACTCTTCAGCTTTATAATATTATTATATATATATTATATTAGCATAGAAGTGCGTTCGTGCTCACTATTGTAGTTGCAGGTGTAACGATTCGTGTTTTACATCGTACCTGCACGAAAGTGATGGCGTTGGTGTTGTTGTGATTGTCGGTGACGAGCGCGCGCCCCTGTTCGCGGAGGTGTGCCGAGACTGCATCAGCGACAGTACGCAGTCCGTCGGGAACGCGCGACAGCAGCTTGTACACGCACGCCAGCTCGCCGGTGCGGGTATGCATAAGCATATGCACTACGCCAGAGTTCTCCATCTGCGGACGCGACCATAGTAATCAATATATTTTTAACTCACCTTAAGTACCTTATGGTAACTAATTTTTATTGATATACCGACAGTTTCAGTCACTGAAAATGTAAGTAGGATTGTATGCTTTGATATTACAATAGTTACTAATAACAACAGTAACTAGGTAAATGCTACCTGTAAATAAAATAATTACTTAATATAAAACAACTTTAAATGGTCATATTACAATAGTTACTAATAACAACAGTAACTAGGTAAATGCTACCTGTAAATAAAATAATTACTTAATATAAAACCTTTTGGTCAAGGGATGATTACTCAAATACACTTATTCATTCAGCTGCTCGGTATTGAAGATCTACATAGCCCATTATCAATTTTCGTATATGTAATTAAATTCTGATATTAAATTTACAGGACGGAAAAATGACTAACACTTTTATGGATGTATTGTTCCTGCCTTCTGAAATATATAAATATGTTTACCTCTACAATGGTCTTCATGTGCTGCTCGATGAGTTCATGTTCCAGCACGGCAACTACCCGTGGCTCAGTAGTCTCATCCAAATAGTGGCGGGCGCGCTCTGCCTCTTCACTGATACGGGCTTCCACGCGCGCGATGTACACTGCCGCGCTGTTCTCTGCCAAGAACTTTTGAGATTCCATCTACAACCAGACAAATTTTATCCTACTTTAAAAAATAAAGTATGAATTTAAAAATATCAACATAAAATGCCTATTGATTACTTAAAAAGAATAAAACTTCCTGATAAATCCCAATATACAATATCTTAAAACTATTTTGTACCTAAATACTAGTAATGAAATTGTTTATATTATACTTTTTGATATGGCTCTGTTCAAAGCTTACTGATTAAGAAAAATGACATGAATGGACTAAGAAATGTACTTAAGAATAACCACCATTCTTCTATTACTCTTTCCGATTATAATATGCTTTTTTTTTCATTTCTTTACAATTAGACAATTAAAAATAGAGGCACCACATAAGTATTACTTTTTTTTTGATACATAATGTACAGAGAAATTTAGTATTATTATAAATACATTTTTAAATAATGATGACTGACTGTCCCATGTCCTTTTGTTAATTTTAGAATTTCTTTCATAATCAACAGTGAATTACAAAAGTCTAACTCACCCTATAAAACTCAGCAGATTGGTGTAGAAATGGCGTTTCAAAATCTTCTTCATACACAGCCCGGGAATTAATGCCGAGCACCATAAGCATCTGGCAGGCGTTGCGTATCGCCAACCGGTCAACAACTTCCCCCCGACGTTCACGCGCCACCATTTCCAGGAGAGTCTGACGTAAGTGGTCACGAATCGACCCGTAACGGACGACCTGGCAAATATGCTTTTATATAATTGGAATGGCAAACAAACTGACGCCATATCTGACAGTATGTGATAAAATAAGCTGACGCCCTATTGAACATTATGTGATATATATATATGAACAGCACCACAGAATCATGTTATGTGACACCCGTGATTTTACTAATGCATTGTCAATTCTTTCTATATATTGGCTGCCTTAGCTTACTTTCAAACAGAGCTTACAAACAGAGCTGTTTGGCAGCTGATGTAGGTGAGACTGTGGTACCGAAACAGAGGACTTGTTACAACATCTACTTCACTAAAATTATTGGATGTATCCTGACAGTTTTTTTACAATAAATTAATAAAAAATCTTTTCGATCTTAAATAAATGTTTTAATATCTGGGTGATATGGGATATTAATAATAGAAAAGGTATATAAATAATAATTTGAATATTGTTTAAAATAACTTATATATGATAGTAGTTTCATTACCTGATCTCTAAAAATGATTAGTCCTAGATTGTACACATTGTCCACTTCATTTTGCTGTACATATACCCTGTCCATATACATAAGTATATCACGGATCATGACCATGCTAGTTTGGTGGTCAGTCCAGGCGTTGTTCAATGTTTGAAGAAAACCATTGTTTAATGAATGTATCACATCTTTCCTGACCTAAAATAATAAAAATATATACAATGTAAATAAATCCTCCAATTGAACACTATAAATAAACATAAATACACTTGATTAGCATTAGTTTCAAATCAATATGACAATTGCAAAAAGAATTATCAAAATTAGAGCTTATTTGGAAGTATAAAATCATTTATATACTGTTTTAAACTTGACGCGGTCATTATTTATACGTATAATTAGTAAAAATCACGGGATCTTACCACGTTTTATATTTATTTGCTGTGTTCCCAATATTTCGGTAGTGTTTCAACCACCATGATCACGGGTAAACTGAAGAGCAGCGGGTAGATGGAAAATGAAATCTTTTTATGGGCAGATATATAGTATATTTATATTTCCAGTAGTAGCAACAAACGAAGATGTGTGAAGGTAGACGCATATGTCTGCCCGCATAGGTAAGATCCCGTGATTTTTACTAATTATATGTATAAAATAATTGTATAAAAATATACCTTGGTTTCAAGATGATTAGTTACAACTTCCTTCAGTCCAGTATATAGCCTTTCCCCATGCTTATGGAGGACCATAGTATAGGCATTACGATAGAGTTCTTCAAAAGATAAACCTGAATTATTTTTCTTTTGAATTTCTTGTATTGCATTTTTTAGTAAACTCCATATACTCTCCACATACTTTTCATCCATAGTCATCTGCAAATTAGATTAGTATAAAAAATTTAAATGATACACAGTATGTTTATATATTCTTCTTTTTCAATACACTCTTGACAGAACAGTTGTGGTGGTGGTAGAGTGAGTGGTATGTTTAATATACACTAAATAAATGTATGTAAATGCTTTTAAGGTATCAACCACATTATAATGAACAGTTAAGTAGAAAGAAGTAAATAGCACTCCAAATATTAGTAATTACTTTATAGATCTCTAAGGATGTTTAATGTGATTGTAACCTATGAAATGCTAATAATAAAACCCACAGCATCTTGAAGGGTGGTTCACCTTACACACAGATAGAGGAGTTACAGATTAAGAATGAGATCATGATTTTATATTGAAATACTGCAATTTTAATATAATGATTTGATATTGAAGAATGGTCACTTGTAAGGACCTTAAGGGTCGAGAAAAAACTTATTTATTGTAATTAAATTGTATGGTGGCATATATTGTAGAAAATTTAGTTATTTAATGTTTTAAAAGTGGATAATTATTGTATGATATTCCAAAGAAATAGTGACATTCCATTCATTCACAAGGTACTGTATGTCAGGGCCCGACAATTATTTTTGATATGTAACTTCCTCATCCATAAGCTTGATTTTTATTGTAATAATTTACTGATAAAAGCTATAACAGGATAGCTGAGAGTGGATCTCTTCACCAAGTAAGTTGTAAACATGGCTTGAATAAGGCATTCTTAATTCTATTATAACCAGAAACTGTATCAGACTATTATTAGAGAAAAATAAAGATAATGATGATGATTATTATTAAATAAATATATAATTTTCAAATATTCATGAAACTATATTAATATTTTCATAAATTCATTATATTTACAGATGTATTATATATATATTTATTCATTGTATATATATACATATATATATCCTTAATTAATATATATTTAATAGACTTGCTGTTATTTAGTACATTACCTCATTGTATGTTACAATGCATGAATAACTGTTTTATCTAATATACTTAAGTGGTTATGACAAATCTGTAATAGAGTATTAGTATGCCTCTTGCCACTGTTACATCAATTATATACCAACCCATTTATCAGGATACATTTGATAATATGGTTCAGAATAGTTCCACACTTGAAATTTTCTTGTCATTTTGTCTATTTTTAACACTTTTGTAAATTATATAGACATTGATAAAATTTAAAACAGAAGTAACAAAATATTAAATAATAACAATATGAAAATAATAATATTTCAACTTTTGATTGGTTTTCACACTTGTCAAAATATAATTATGTTTAAATGACATATTGAACACAAATATATGTGAAGTAACTTTTTCCAATTTTAAAATTTTGTTGGAAAATAGTTGCCATATATTTATTTATTTATAAATAGATCAAGATTTTGTACATTCTCACTATTACAGATATGATGAAAGGCAACTATTTACAATTTTTTTATCATATTGTGATTTTTATGCATGACAGAATACACACTGATCATACAATTTACATACATACATACATGCATGCATAGGGCATAGTAATACTTAAAGAGCTAATATAACATGTGGGGATTAATCGCAATTATATAACATTTTTTATTAATTTTGAGCTATCCATAAAACATTGTACTGTAATATTTGCACGAATTATTATACATCAAAGCAAAACACCTATAATTTGTATTATGACTCAAAGTTTCACATGCATCATGCATTATGAGAGAGTGACAACATCATAATATACATTTAGCATATCCATAATGCAATTGCAATGCAGTTTATATTATTAAATGATACAATTATTAAAAAAAAAATACAACATGCAATATACACTGACCAGTGCTTCAATAACACATGAAAAAAGCTATGAATTAGGTTTGAATTTTATATTGTATGTAAAAATAGAGAGCTTTTATTACTTACAGGAAAAGCTCTGATTCTCATTTTGCCAGGTTTATCTTTTGGCAATGCACTCTTCATTTTTATGGGTTAAAATTCACACACCAACAAAACACTAAATTCATATAAAAATCTCTTCACTGTTCATGTGCTTCGTCACAGAAATACTTCATCGTTACTCTCTTTACATCTGAAAATATCAACTATTTGTTAAAATGTAAAGCTAACGTCGTTTGACTCGTAAACAGATACAAATCATACACCTAGATCATTGAAATGTAGCTTGCTAATGGTAGCACTTTATGCATTATTAGTGCAAAAAATATACGACTGATTTATTAATATGTATATATATTAATATAAACTATTTTTTGCAGTAAAAAGAAATTGATTATCCATAGGTACTTAATTATAAAAGAGGACAAGATTAAAGAGAAATATGCAGTGATGTGACAGTGACAAATAATACATTCAATGAACAATCAGAAGAATAGGACATCTCTTTCACTCTTATTTTGAGCTCGCATTTATTATTTTACCATTGTCACACGTTTCATATGAAATTATTAACTCACGAATGATATAATTATTTCCTCTTTAAATATTCACTCATATGTACTTCAGTAATTACTTAAAGTACATTTAAATTATTTGATTATTTTCCATTTCCTTACTTTTATTAAATCATAGACAAGTGACAAGTTTCTAATTTGTATTTTAAAATTAAGAACATAAAATGTTGCCAGTAAGTACTTGCTAGTTGATATTCATGTTAACTTGACTTTACAATTTAGGAATATGTTAGACTAACAAAATAATTGTCTAACGTAATTGAATTCAAGTTATATCACTAGAACGGTTGCCTGTTGGGATTGAAACTGGTTAGTACGTAAACTACTGGACTCGGGCAAAGGAGTTTGTTAGTAATTTGTGGTATTGCTAGTAATATTTATGTCTGTTGAACTTACGTGGTGATTACTTGCTGACCGAGTTTTTACCGATTTGTTTACTACGCGTGGAGTTCTTTCATATTTCATTCTGGACTATCCTACAACATTCTTTTTTTTGTGGAATAAAAGAAAAATCTAGATGAGACTGCTAGATTAATTTTTTTTGTTTACGTTATAATATTATAGCGCCATCTTAGTTTCAGTTTACGAAACTAATTGTGCTGCTGTGCGAAAGGGAAGAATTGTTTAAAGGGATGGTCTCTTTAAAGATCACCTTTAAGTCTATTAGTAAGAATTTAAATTTTATTTGTCTTTTGAAATGAATGAAATGTGCAAATTAACATTTGAAGATAAGGTATAAATTACATGTAGGAAGACACATTGTCAACAAAGGGCATTTTCGTGTTAACTATTTGTAAATAAGATTCTTCTTCACTATTAAACATTTGACTTGGTTTGAACGATATACTAATAGGAGGCAAGGGACATTCCTACTATCTATTGGTAATGAATCATGGAATACAGTTTAGAATTGATAGTGATTTATATTATTTTCATCACATGTCACGCCTATATCCTTGGTCTAATAAGGCTCGATTTGAATATATTTGACCAAGATAGACTTCATGAAAAGTCGTCGGCGTGGTTATCTCAGTCTCATCAATTTCAGCCTCTAAGTAGTTTGTAAGCTGTGTTTCAGTTGTAGGATGAGATTAGAAGTACAATTACATGTTAAGAAGCACTGGATTTACTCTGAGGTGGCTGTGCATGAATCACGATTAATTACAACATCGTAATGTAATGTTCGTAAAGCTGTTCATGTTACCGACGTAAATAGCTTTATTGACGAAGGTTACCGTTTACCATTTGGTGGATCATCAAATAGTTATAACACGTGTTGTAATATTAATTATATATGTCTCTCTTTTATTCAACTTATTTATTTTAATTTTTGACTCTTGTAAACATTATACCTTCTTTTTACATTATGAATATGAGTTCGAAATATACCTCGTATCTACTATTATAAGTAGTTTTTTATTAGGCGATAATGCCATGTCCACAGCCGTAAAGGATGATAGTATAGGACAGTTTTTAATTATTTTTTAATGGCCAACAGTGGCGTGGTGGACGGACCATAAAGGAAGATGAGCGAGAAGTCAGATCAGTTAACCCACTTCGACGAATTTACCAGGAATTTGCTAAAATGGTATGAAGCTCGACTAACATGGTACATTGGCTACATGGTTACTAACATGCTGGACACAAAATGGAGCTGTGCTGATCATCGGAACTGACGGTAAAAAACATCAAGTCAGTTCAGGTGCCGACCTAAACCGGCTCATTAATTTGTCTCAGAGTGTTGTGTGTGATAATACGACGCTAAACTTCCCAGCTTATATATACGGCAGCTGTAACGCGATCTAAGCGCATTTTGAGAGAGAGAGAGAGACTGTTGTAGTGGTCGTGGTGGCGGTATTAGTTACGTAGGGTTTGTTCTATATTTTACCAAATTCAGTGGGTAGATAAATTTAACTAATGTATTTTTTAATTTTCTTTGTATCTTGTGACGTTTTCAAAATTTTTACTTTTTCTATTATCAACCCACATTAAAAACAATCACTTGGTTGAGATTCGGCATTTCTGACAGTTATGACTTTGACAGCACTGACGTTGACAGTTGTTATATTGAAATAATTATTTATGGTAGATTAGACTAAAATAGCCAACTTAGCCCATTTGGCATTATATTGATACAGCCATAGTTTTTAATATTGCCACCTAAATTTAATCTTTAAGTTATTGTTATTTTTGGTATTATTATGATGTAATTTCTCTTTTCATATGTACATATATATATTTATTATCAAATTCCAACTACTAGCAGGTAGACGCTCAGAGAAGAATATTAGTTTAATTTTTGTTTGTATATTATTGTTTTTCTTTTTATATATATTGTATTTTGTATTTATATTTTTGTGCACACATGTATATTGATAGTGATGGTGATGACACGTTTAATTCTATTTAGGATCATACCAGCGATGACAGCTTTCACAGCGCGTCTCTTCCCTTTGATGAAATTTTAAATAATACCTTTTCTGAAGTACCTAGAAACTTTAATGCCGTTCACATTAACGCGCAAAGTATTCCTGCACACTTTCCTGAAATGCTTTCAACATTTAACGTAAATAATCTTCACGCTATCTTCATTTCCGAGACATGGCTAAAGCCGTGTCTTCCTTCAATTTCCTACTCTTTACCTGGTTTCCATCTTGTTCGCTGTGATCGCACTGGCAGAGGTGGCGGTGGTGTTGCCATATACCTGCGTTCCGATATCCCTTTCGTTTTGATTAATTCCTCTTTCAGCACTAATCCTTCCCATGAACCTGAGCATCTTTTTATAGAAGTCACACTCTCCCATACTAAAGTTCTTCTAGGAGTGTTCTATAGCCCGTCACCTACGGTTGACTATTTTTCCTTATTTGAGCAACTCCTAGAGAACCTCCTTCCTTCCTATAGTCGTACCATTATTATGGGTGACTTTAACACCTGCCTTTTAAAAAATGACTCTCGGGCAAATCGTCTTCAATCTGTAGTCAACGCCTGCAACCTGCATATCCTACCTCTAAATGCTACCCATTTCTTTCCTAGCTGCAATCCTTCCTTACTCGATTTAATCCTTGTCTCATCTCCTGACCTTGTCGCTAATTTTGGTCAGCTGCCTGCTGATGGTTTTTCCTTCCATAACCTTATTTACCTCTCCTATAAAATTCGTCCTCCTAAAATTAAACGTAAAATCCTTATGCAGCGCAAATTTGGTGCTATCGATATGGACTGTTTGCGCAAAGACGCCTCAGAATGTAGTTGGTCTACTATTGGTACTCTATCTGACGTAAACGATCAAGTTGAACGATTTAATAAATTAATTACAGATCTTTACAATAAACATGCTCCTGTCCGCCCTGTCAGGGTTAAGCATTTGCCTGCACCCTGGCTTACAGATGAGATCAAGACTATGATACTGAAAAAGAATAAAGCTAAGTCCAAATTTAGGTCAGACCCTGACAGATGTCGGAATGATTATATCAGCGCCAGGAATCTCTGTAATAGGATGTGTAGAGAAGCACAAAGACGCCACATTCACAAATCCGTTGAAAACGGTGATCCAGCTAAAGTCTGGAAATTTCTCAAGTCACTAGGGGTTGGGAAAAAAGTAATGATAACCCTGTTACTATGGATATCGAATGTCTCAACCAACATTTCTGTTCTTCTCCTGCTATAGATATTACTGTAAAATCTAATACACTACGTAATCTTTCCTTCTTATCCACCCCTGACTGCTCTCCTTTTTTCTTTGATCAATTGACCGATTAAGATGTTGAGAAGAGTTTGCTTTCAATTTCTTCAAATGCTGTAGGTACCGACAGCGTTAGTCGTAATATGATCTTGCCTATTCTTGATATCCTTTTGCCCTCCATTACTTTACTCTTCAATAAGTCTTTGTCCTCTGGCGTCTTTCCCTCCAATTGGAAAGATGCTTTCATTATTCCTCTTCCCAAAAAAAATATTCCTACCTCATTCGCCGATTATCGTCCTATTTCCATACTCCCTTTCCTATCCAAAGCCTTAGAACGTTTGGTTCAACTAAGGCTTAATTCATTCCTAACCAGACATAATCTCCTAAATCCTCTACAATCTGGTTTCACAATACGACTGCTCTTGTGAAAATAACTGACGATATTCGTCTTGGTATGGAGAACTCCCAGCTTACTGTTCTCACTTTACTTGATTTCAGTAACGCATTTAATACTGTGGATTTTGACATCTTATTAGGCCTATTATCCTCTCTCAACATATCTCCCCCGGCTATTGACTGGTTTCGTAGTTACCTGTTGGGGCGTCGGCAGCGTATTCGCATCGATGACGCTCTGTCTTCGTGGTGCCTTACGTCAGCTGGCGTACCTCAGGGTGGTGTCTTATCTCCTCTTTTATTTGCATTGTTTATTAGCTCAATCACTTCAAAACTTCAGTCTTCCTACCATCTCTATGCAGACCATCTCCAAATCTATACTCAGGCTGGTCTGGTAGATATAACTCAAGCCATATCCACTATCAATGACGATCTTATGCGTTTATCTGTTTGGAGTGAGTCATACGGCCTTGTTGTGAACCCTTCGAAGACACAAGCCATTATTATAGGTAGCCCCAGATATATTTCTCAAATTTCTTGGAATGACCTTCCGCCTGTAGTCTTCGACGGGGTTCTAATTGAATATAGGAAATCTGTTAAAAATCTTGGCATTGTATTTGATCGTACGTTGTCTTGGTCTCATCAAGTCTCTGAGGTTAGTAGGAAAATGTTTGCAGCTGCTGGTGGCTTGAACAGGTTGCGTAACTTTCTCCCTTTTGATACCAAAATTGCACTTGCTCATTCCTTACTCCTTCCTATCCTCGATTATGCTGACTGCTGCTACTTGGATCTCACTGAAGAGCAATTAAATAAACTTGAGCGACTTCAAAATTTATGTATTCGCTTCATATTTGGTCTGCGCAAATATGATCACATCTCCCAGTATCGTACTCAACTCAAGTGGCTCCCTATCCGTCTTCGTCGCAACTTACACATCCTATCACTCCTTTACAGCATTCTTTTTAACCCAGTTACTCCTTATTACCTAAAAGACTGTTTCACATTTCTCAGTGAGAACAACAGCCCCTCCTCGCGTAATGTTAACTATCTCCGTCTAAGATTTCCCTCTCATTCCACTTCCTTCTATTCTAAATCCTTTTCTGTCCAGGCCGTTAGGTTGTGGAACTCACTGCCCTCTAGCATTCGGAGCATTCAATCGCTTGCCAGCTTTAAAGCCTCTGTCAAATCCCATTTTATATCCCTTTAATTAATTTCTTATTATTCTCATAATTAATCTTCCTTCATTCTTTCCAAATGTATGTGCACTATTAAGTATATGTATGTGTATGTATATATGTATTAATGTGTGTGTATGTTTATATTTATGTATATTTGAGTCATATATATTTATTTTTGTTTATTACGTGCGCCACCTACCCTGTTCTTATTTTTATTTCTCTATCCACCTAAAGGTAGTCTGGAAGAGATTGCTTAGCGATAAGACCGCCTTTTGTATCAGTGTATATTTTCCATTTTAATTGTTTTTTTTTTTTTTGTTTTTGTTCTGTAATTGGTGCAATAAAGAGTATAAATAAAATAAAATAAATAAATAACATGCACGTAGTGCAAGGTCCCATTATTCTTTAAATTTACGAGTTATATTAAATTTTATATATGATCTTGAGAGAGAGAGAGAGAGTGGCAAAGAAAACAAATTAATAATTTGAATAAACTTTAATAGCCAAAACATGTGACAATTTTCATTTCAATTTTTTTTTACAAAAACACGACAATTTTAAAATGAAAGTAATAAGGTAGGTTTACTAAGAAAATGTAGTTACTCGTAATACCTACATTTGAACAACTATTAACCTAGCTGGGGAAGTCAGAGGCATTGTTACAAACTAATGACGTCGTGATGAACACAGCGCTTGAATAGCCCACATTTTGCTTGTTATATTTGAATTCAGCATGGTTATAGGATTTTCCATCACTGGAAACACACTTAAAAATATAACCAACATTTTTTTATTGCCCTTGACCATGTTCAACACCTCGACCTGTAGGTATATGTCAGCCCAGACGACTCTCTCAGGAAGAGTAGATAAACTAGTTTATTAGGTTAAATCATACAGGTAGATTAAATTAAACAACGTTTAATAACTATAAGTTACATGAATACCTATATAGCTTATTTATTATGAACATAATATTATTTCCTATTGTACTTGTTACAACAAGAAGGATCAGTCACAAAAAAATCTTTATAATATGATTTTTCAATTACCTAATAATGTAATTACTTTACAATTAATACTTATTAGAATTATAGTAGGTAGATACAATAATTTGACGTGGCATTGGTTTTAAGAATATGAAAATCTCTGTGTATATCACAATTCCAACAATCAGAATAAAATAAGCCATACCAGAGCAATAAATTGAAAAATATATAACTAAAAGCATATATGAATTCGTTTAGCCAGTATGGTAATTTTACGCTAATATCCTCAACTTTTGGCGATTAATTTGGATGGCTTCCACTTTAATATTTCATAAATTCCCGCCATGTTCTCGCATACCTGTGGTATGTGAGAACATGGCGGGAACTTTAAATTGTATATAATTCATATTTGGTTAATCCAAACATAAAGTTATTACCATCTGTTGCAATAAAGGTGGTGTAACAAATGTCCATGTCGGCTGTATATAATACCTAATAATAATAATGTAGTCTAATTTGTATTGGGTAGCTAAATAATAAACTGAAATTATATATAAAGAAATATTGTATGTCTTGTTGGTATATATATTCGATTATATATTGTGACATTTTAGGAACTAGTATATTGCCTACGGGTGAAATAATATTTCTACATTTTCTGATAACTTTCAAATTACTCCAGTAGTTTAGGTAAAGACAATAAATATAATAAATTAAGTAATATAATTGAAAAAATAACATAGTTTTTCATCACATCTTCAGCTATATATATGATACTAATTACAGTTTTAGTTCTCTTTTATTAAATTAGTTATCTACTGACTGACCTTCATTAGTTATAGACTGTCAATCAAATTGGTTAACATTCTGCAGTAAGAAAAGTAGGTGCAGCTATGTCATACATTATCATAGTAAGCAGGATGTAAATGTAGAGCCCATCTCAGAAACAGGAGTACAAAACATGCTATGACAAAAAATGACACCATCACTTGTAAATTTTTCTCAGACCGCTGGTCACGCTCACTGGCACGTAATCGTTCGATCAACCCGTTCTGTAAAATAAATTGTTACATACATATGTATATACAAATGATATACCATATACCTATATATTATGTATAGTAAGTAGAATCATCATTATTACATAGTATAAAACAAAGTCGCTGTCGCTGTCTGTCCCTATGTATGCTTAAATCTTTAAAACTTTGAGGCGGTTCTTTTTAATAGATAGAGTGATTCTAGAGGAAGGTTTATATATATATATAATACATGTTCACTTCAATAAATTGAACGCGTCGACTTAATTACATTTTTAACCTTTGTTGAGAGATAATATTTTTAAAATATAGAAAGTATGTAGTATATTGATTATTGTTTAAATCTAGTCAAAGCCCTAAAATGAACAAATATAAAATAAAAAATATTCAGTGTCCATTTCTAGAATACAGATTAAAAGTGTCGATTACTGATTATATTTAAGGATGAAATATCTTCTAGAATAGAAGAATATTACCTATGTCCCTCATCGTCAGATTATGTAAGACATAATAGGCCTGATCAAGGAGAGTGGATCCCAAATAAAATGGTAGATGACTAGACCGTGAGAGAAGTATTATATATTACCACTCATAAAAAAACATTATATGTTCGTTAACCGATATATTATCTAATTCAGACTTGACATTCTAGTAGGTTACAAAGGAACGTTCTTTTACTGTACGATTAAATGTAAATTTTGAGGTTATTTTGTGGTCTATTACCCATCCACCATGAGCAGCTATCCAGGAGCCCGTCTCCTCGTGCAAGAGGTCCGCAATGGCGGCCGCCGGCGCTGCCACCAACTCGAGAGCTGGTTCTTCATCTACAGCCTCTGCTGCTTCACGGGCCAATGCTCCGCACACGCAATACACAGCTGCTATCTTAAATATGTTTAATACATATGTTTATTTTTTATTTAACAGGTCTATTCTAAAGATTAGTTGCGATCCAATGCCATTGGAATGCATTATATTTTATATTCTTTAATTGCAATAGCAATGTATTAATTTCGTAGTTTAGTCTTATGTTTCAAAATAATAGTACAAAAATGGCTTGTTTCGATATCGATTACATTCCAGATTAGATCAGTAGATATATCTGTATAAGTACATATCATGATTTAGAACCAATTATAGCAAATGTTATCATAATTTACTTTTAAATTTTCGCTTTTGGTATATATACATATATATTTATGATTTTTAGAATTTTTGTCTGTTTGTTTGTGCGTTTGTGCGTGCTAATCTAAGAAATGGCTTAACCGATTTAGATGTAGTTTTAACTAATGTAATGTGGTTTACTTAAACTAATAGGTAGTGGGTTTCGTTACTTATTGATGTAGTTTGTGGCGTTTTAACTTTATTTTGTTTACCATTAAATTATTCGTGTTAAGAGCCTACAAACTATATTAATAATATTATCGGACTATTGCACATTAAACTCAAGTTTTATAAGTTTTAGCTTTACTTAGGTACTTATGTGAGTAAAACTTCGAAATTTGTACAATATATTAGGTGGAAAAACTCTGAAGTGCGAAAGCTATTTGTAATTTGTATACAGCTAGTTCGTTGAGATATAAAATTAGGTGTATTTTTTTTAAATTTAGATTTTTTTAAATGTAATCATTGCAATAGCATTGAAAACAACTGACGAATCACCTGATGGTAAGTTGTAACCGTATATTTGAACAGCACCTGCCCTCTGTGGTAGATCTTTGCAATGCTATTCCGGAACAAATTTAAAGTGTCATATATCCGTATCCCATAATTTCACTGCTATATTTCACTATTAAATAGAAACATATGTTACAAAGCAAGCGGACGATAGTAATAGTGAATCAGAAGTACCCACGGCGATAACTTTGTACAACGTTTCGCTAAGTAGATATTGGAAGTGTTTTCAGTATAATTGGATTTAATTCGGAAGTTAGTTACCTACCTTAGACCACGTGATGTTCTCCCTGGTGATTCGCCTCGCTAGTGCTAGTGCCAACTCCGCTAATGCAGTGTCGGATCGCAGCATCGCTGACGGCGCTCGAGTGGCTTGTCTCGCTACATGGCGGAACACGTCGGGTCGCTTTCTTTCTAGAGCTGCACACAGCGCTCTTAGTGCTGACAGTACGCCCGATTCAGAATTACTCAGTGCTTCTTCACCGCATTCCGTCTCAAGCATCCGTTGTAATCGTTTCATCACTATTTTCTGGAAAATAAACATACTAGCGTTTATTCATCAATGCATAAGATTTGTGTTAAGGTATTTATATATATACTCAAGTAGTTTGTATTGAATATATTATATTGAGATAGTAAGTCTGATAGTCTGAAAGTATATATTAGCCGATATTTCTAGAGAAACTGAGTTCTTCTAATGTAAGCACGGCTGTAGTTTAGTAGGTAGACGGCATGTTGGTGTGATTGAATAAAACTAAGTATGTATTTTATTATATATATATGCTTTATTTTTAGCAATACAACATTGTAATAAACTGCAACCAGAGGATGATAATATATAGAGCAAAAGAGTTAGCATATTATTAATTTTGATTTTTAATATATAAAGATTTTTACCACAATATTCACTTTTAATACTGATTGTTTAAGAATATTCTTATTAAAAAATTGAAGTAGTAGTTTTGTTGAATAACAATAATGTTATGATTAACGTCAGATAATACAGACGTTACAATGCATAGAATTGTTGTACCTAAGTGCTAAAATTTATTAGAAAATATAAAAAAATATTCTATTTATTTTATGTTTACTAGCTGTAACGGACTTCGCCTCTTTTAATACTAAACATTTTTAAACTAATTTCATTCAGTCGTGAAAAATCTTTAATCCTTGCTTATCCTTTACATAAATAGACAGACATATTTTCTCATTTATAATATCAGTATATACTAAATACTATTTTTTCGAGCAAAATGTGCGCATATCAAGTGTTCACCTCAACTGTTGTCAATACCTCTGTATATCCCATCTGGGATGTAGTCGTGACAGTATGCATATACTATTTGCTAATAAAGAGCACCAGGTAATAAAGCATAAGGGAATTAATGAAGGCCTCGCTGTGAGCACGAGAAAACTCGTTAATTAATCCAAAATAGTAGCAAAACTTTCAGTGGCCGCAACTTTCGTAATACTCCATTTAATGAAGTGAAAACAATAGTAATATACATGAGTTTTGACATTGCATATATTTTAATGCCACTTTTTTACTCCATTTTACGAAAGTTGGTAAAATACATAAAATTTAGCCGCATGTAAATTGGTAGGTAACTACTTAAAGATTAATATTATCAAAGAATAAGTGTTTTGCCAAATCTTCTCAACAGAAGTAACTAGCCTAGCTGCAGAGTGAGATAGTTTATGGTAAAAAAAAATATTTAGTACTTGTATAAGTTGCGTAATGAACTATATAACTTTACCTTTTTTTGACAAAGCGAAGATCTTCGGATTTGCGTTTTTATGTATTGGAGACATAACGCGCGACCCTGCCTCACGATCTGTGGCTTCACTTGCGTGGGGGTTGCAAGGCACCATCCTATAGTTGCGGAGAGTCTCCGAGATACCGCCGCCGCTGCTGCGCTCGACACCATGGTGCTGAATCGACGCTTCGTACGGTCCAGGGGCGACAGGGATCGGGATTGAGAAGTACGTGTATCTAAGAAGGCATTGTAGTTTATTAATATAGTAAGTGTTCACGTTTTTAACACAAAACAAGTGTCTATCGATCATCTATCTTCACGGGAAACCTTAAGATGAGTTCATCCGTTTAGTTATGAAAACATACATATAGACGGATATACACAGAGACAGACACACTGACTTTTGCAATTATAAAATTTGTAAAGATTATTTTTCAATTTAAATGGTATATTTGTTTATAAGTCTTAGGATGCATTTTTATTTCAATTTACAGTTTTAAGGCCAGGCAAGTGTTACGTAAAGTTCGTACTTTGGTGCCGTTTATATTATTGGACGGATTATAGTCATGCATGTGCACAGGACCAAAAATACTACAGATATGAGCATGAAGACTAACAAAAGAATTGTAATACAAACAAAGTCACTCAAGTTACATACATTGTACAGTATTCTAATAGTTAGGCGTGACTGTAACTCATAATAGACATAAATTGTTTCCTATTAGAATATTATGTGATATTACTTTGTCAAAGTATCTACCATTACTGACAACACCAAAGACTTTTTAACTATGTAATATAAATATGTAAAGGTACATAATTGCACGTGACTATACACGTAGTGGTTATTACACTATGACAAAAGATGTCGCAAAATATATTGACTATTGAAGAATGAAAAAACTGGCAACCGCCGCATATGAGCAGAGGAACAAGTACCTATAGTATTGCAACTCGTTAGTGAAGCCCGTGGTACAGTGCATTTCTGAGGTTTATAGTGTCATGTTCAAGTACTCTGTAATTATGTCTTTCCCTTCAAAGAACCACAAACTGTTTGACGGCAGGATAATAATATACAGGTCCCCATGCAAATCTCAGTAGTCGAAATTCTAGTAATAATACAAATGTGAAACTTTGTAAAGCTATTTAAATCTGAAACTTTGTACAGATACTCGTATTTGGAAGTTTGTCACACTGATTTATGGCTGAGGACGGATTTAAATGAAGTTTAGTATGTTTGCTGATGCTAGATCAAACCTCAGAGATAATTCTCGAATTCAAGCCGGCTATATTGGTGAATTTACCAGTAAATCTAGTAATGTCTAGAATAGGGTAGGGCAAAAAAATATAAAATGTTTGATAAAATCAAATATTTTTTGACAGCTTAAGTTTTATTATATATGAAAACAATACAATATTTTTTATATATGAAAAGACCGTATCTACATAGAATACTAGCTAAATATATGAGTATATTTTTTTAAATGGCTTCGTAATCCAATTCCTACCAACTACCAACAAAGTTATTTGAAGGTTAATAACTGTTTTAAAAACTGTCTCTAAATGGACAATTATTCAATGTGTGACCCCTAATAGTTAGAATAACTAGGTACAATATGTTGTTAGAACACGAGTTTATATTTACTACATATATCCATTTTTGTAGATAAAATAGCATAATTAATTACGTTATATATGATATGCGTATAATGTTTATAAATATTATATTAGGTACGGAAAGTTAATATATCTTATACCTATTAAAAGTAATTTTGTTCTTGTATTTATATTCAATATAATGAATCTTATGAATAAATGCGTAAAAAAAAATATTAAAGCATACTGTCCTTCTATGGTATCAAGTAGTGTTGTGATGCAGGTGGAAACAGAACTCCATATTTATGCTTATTTGGGCTTAAAATTAGTCGATACTTAAGAGTAAAATGTTCTTTTTTTATGAGTTCAAGTTGTTGATACCATTTTACTTATAAGAATACGATTGATTTTTTTTTATTATTTTTAAATCGAATATAGACAGATAATGTATTTAGTATATTAGTAGGCAAACCCTGTTTTTCAGCTTTTAAGACAATACATTTCTACATCCACCGACTAAAGCCATCTCTGTATATTAACGTCTGTACTCTTTGCGTCAGATATAGAATTAAATCTATCGACACAAATTAGCACAAATCTTGACGTAAATATGGAGGACACGATATTGTAAAAATTTGTGCCGGCAAAGTGTTAATTTTGAACACATGCATCACTACAATAACTAGTAGGGGGTTTATTTATGTAATTAAGCTTAAGCTATTACTGTCGCAAGAAATTAAGAAATCTTATTCTCATACGTGATATGTTAATAAGTCCCTCGCTTGAGCCCTGAAATGCGGTGAGAGGGGTGCTGAGTTTTCTGCGCGCACGCAGTGGTGGTACAAGTTCGTCATCTTCCTCGCCCTCTGGTGGTGTGACGTGTATCGCGATGTTGTTGCCCTCTTGTGATTTTGTTCCTCCCAGTTGCCATTTTATGTCTGTGAGCGGCCCTATCTGAAAAAAAGGCAAATTGTAAATCTTATTAATATATCTATTATAAACTCGAAAGTTTGTGAGTATTGATGGATATTTGTTACTTTTTCACGCAAAAACTACTGAACGGATTTTGATGAAATTTTAATATAGCTTATAGATCAGAATAACATATAGGCCATAAATTTCACGCGCATGAAACCGCTGGCATAGTTAGTGTAACAGATATACTTTCATATCTGTTACAACCACAGTTTGAGAAGTCAGTGGAATTGTCAATTCTTAGTGATAACTTCACATACCCACGTATATTTGAATCCAACGTGAAAGGGGGTGACCCTACCTCAATCTTTCGTATTAATTTCTTGACCAGTATACCAAGACGCCTTCAGCAAGCAATATTTAAAACATATAACTGATACAAATAAGAACAGTGAGGTACATATTGATATAAAATAATTAAATATATCACGCCATACAAACGGATACAGATACGATAGATAAACAACTAAATCAGAACAGCACTAAAACGCTCTTTTAAACTGTTTATTACAAGTGCTATTTATTCTTTTCGGTATTCTCTGGATAAGATTAACTACGTATTTACTCTTGGTTATTAGAAGTTTTCAACAAATTTAAATATGAGGTTATAAATTTGGTTATATTCTTGATGTGGACGTGGACTGATTTTGGTGCTCTTTTTTTAGTTCTGCCTACGATGCAACACTGCAAATGCTCACATTTCGCTCGGTATACATATTTAAATCATACGTGGCATTTAAACACGCGTCATTCTCTCCTCGGATAGTCAGTTCGAAAGATATATATTGATACACAAAGTTTTTTGTGTCGGTTAATGTTTAACTCATAACTTTTCGGTTCAAGTCCGGGTAGTCTACCGGTATATTCACAAGATAACAAGAAATTAAATAAGTGACAAAACTTGTATTTTTACACTGCGGAGGGTTAACTAGCTACAATTTTATGCGATATCTTATTTTTATCCTAAAATTTGATGTATTAATAATGCAGTAATAAAAGCTCTGTAATTTTTATTGATAAAATAAAATAGGTCACTTCTTCATGCAACGCACGTTTTGTAGAAGCACCGAGCAAATATTAAATTCATTCATTCTCGATACAAAGCCGGACAAATAGAAAAGCCGGCCATATGATATAATATACATATATTTTCCAAAAAAATAGGTAATAGCATTAAATTTTGTGTTCTGATATCTATTTAAAATTTATTTTAGGATCATAAAATTATTATTTAAGTAAAAAATAAGATATTTTTCTAACTACTACGTATGTATGTATATTGTAAACTAACTACATAGATATTGAACTTACCTATTAATGAGTATAGTGTAACTGATTGTAAATTAAATACCATAAAGAAGATGTCATTAAGTTAAATTTAGATTAAAAACAGTAACGTCAAAAGAATTAATTAAAGACTTCCTTTCTGTCTGAGCCTGAAGTGGACTACTTACCTGATTTCTGGAAACAACTAATTATTATTAATAGACAGAGCTAATCGTTCTATCGTTCCAGTTTTAACAAATTAAACACATCAATTAAAGATTTCTACAGGTGATTAACTGTAATTTTATAGATGTTTAACAGATCACGTGCGTCACGAGCTTCAATAAAATAACCATAAGTGACACTATGTGAAATTTCAAGGTTCTACCTGAAACGATTTCCGGATAAGGCAACTACGCACAGACCTTTTTAAATCGTTCCAATTTTCCCTTTGGGGTTAACCATAAAAGCAGGATATACAGACGTAATATAATTATAGTTTTAGGCGTAAAAGTTAACAAAGTAATTATCCCAGAGGATAGTGCCTATTAAAAAAATAAGGAAGGTTATATTTTCAGTAAAAATTTTAATAAACTGAAGAAGTGTCTGTCTAAGTTTCCTGTATTTACTTTATTTACATACATGTAAAATAAGTATAGGTAGATCAAAATACAATACATAAAAGTAAGACAGAAAAGAAAAGAGTCTATTCTGTGAGTCTATCTTTACGATAGATCCATTACTATTACAAGATTCCTAGAGAAAGTCGTTATAATTACACATAGTCTGTATGATGTATTTCTTAACACGACCGTATCATACTGCAAATTATTTAAATCAGACCTTAAAGTGGAACCAGTGGAAACAGACAAACAGTGGAAAATACACCATAATGTTTTTAACATTAGGGTGTACTTTCCACTGTTTGTATTTTTTGAGTTAATCCATTATTGTACTGTGCGATATATACAAGTCAGTTCCGGACACTTTTTAGTCTTTCCGCAGATAGTAAAGGGTTTTAGTACACCGTTTATCTTTACATTTTGAGTATTTTTATTTCATCCTTTTGTTATTAACACAGCTTGTGTTAAGGTAAAAGATAATTTCCACATGCCTTATCAACATAGAATGGCCCTTTGTTACATAAAATTTATCATACTGTTGGTATCATACCTCGATGGTGTAGTACCTACATTGCATTACATTTTCCGATGGTCGTGGGTTACATTTGTAAAAATCTAGCTGTCAATAGTCAGGAATCAATGATACAAGATGTATTAAATTTGAGATTGAGAATGAGAGAATAGTGTTTTGTTAATTGCGCTACTGTGAAGTTAATATCGTTGTTTAAGTATTTTTAAGTGGTATTGAGTACTTTTATTGGAAACCTTAGTCAGTGTAGAATAATAGAGGTAGGTGTATACTTTTGGTGATGGTTTGTAGAATATTTGTGAAGCTGAACCAGCTTTAGCAAGAAACAAAGAGGAAAATTAGTTAATGAGTTTTGAAATTTTTATACTACATGGGATATGTGACCACGATATTTATATTAAGGTTTTATTGGAAACAATTCCATATTTTCACTGTTTTCTGTTTTGAAAATTAGTTTAATTTCAGGAATAGTATCATTGGCTACTCTTACGATTAATCATGTAGGTATACAGGGCTGGATTATACATTAGGTAGGTAGGTGGGTAACTGCCCGGGGCCTCTCTTAGTCTGCCCGTCATCGGCCCGTCAAAAGAAAAGAAATTGAAAATGTTCCATAGAGGGAACAATTGCATATATAAAATTTGTGTCCTCAATGACAGCAGCTATAGTATTATTGTATTTTATTCTGGACGTGGACTGTATGAAGACGAAATATTGCATATTGTTTAAGATTTTATAATAAATACAACATAATCGTATAGTATTAAATAGTAGGATATGGATGGTTAAAACTTTTTACTTTCACTCGCATCAACTTAAACTTGCCTGATAATGTTTAAACGGCTGAAAAACCCTGTAAAAATATTCTATATTCCGTCATTTCCAATTAATATTGAACGACCTCTTTTAAATAGGGAGGGATCTCGAGAATTGCGTTGCCTAGAGGCCAAACATGCCTGTACATGGTAGTAAAGGGTATAAAAATTTGGTACTCATATACCTACTTAAATTTTTATGAGAGACAAGTAATATTTTAGAATAAAATTCCTTTAAAAAGAGATAACTACGTTAGGAAATAAGTGCAATGGGAAGTCAAGAAATAAATGTACGCATTAACTATGCTGCATAGGATCGATGGAGCAATCGGCCCGCTCAGGCACGACCGTGACAGCCGCTCGCGTTCCTAATGTTAATTCCACTTCTCAATGTTATTGGTGAGTCTGCTTCGCTCCTGGAATACTTAATTAAGTATAAGGATATCGCTTTGGTAAACGATACCCGGTTAGTGCAAATGCATTTACGTTTCATTAGAGGTAATTCCCAAATAATAATTATTTTTGTTTATTTTTCCATCGCGTTCTGTAAATCAGTATAAAATTATGCTAGTCCTTAATTTTTGCAATTGGAATTATTGGTACAATAATCCATATGTTGTCAGAAGCTAATAATTATTACTGTGCATAAAGAATTCTATCAAATAAAGAAAAGTTATGACTGTGGGTAATTACAGACGAAACAATTGAGTTTAAAATATGCAAATCCAATCCTCAACTTAATGACGATAATGGTATTATGATCACGACCGAGAAATCTATACAGTGTATATAAAAATGTAACTGATCGCTATCTGTACAAAAAGAAAATGAAGACGAGGTTAATGCGTATAATGCAACTTCTCCACAACAATTATTATTTTATTCCTTTGCGTCTCTCTTACGTATTACGAAGTATGAGTTTTAGAAGTAGGTAATAGAGTAGTGCATTATGTTATCATTATATTAGAAAAATGTATGTAATAACCATATATATATGTATATTGTATAATATATTATTCAAATACCCGGTACAAATTCGTCATAGGAATCGGAAACAATTTATTATTTTATTTGCGAAGTTTCTTAGGGAACATCAAATGTACAAATACTTATATACCTACTTATCTTCTTATATTTAATAAAATCAGGATTGTTTAAATAGTACTTTATTGAACGCTATAAATAAAGTACATATTTTATTCAACACTAGCTACTAACACGCGGGTTTATCCGCGTAAAATAAAATAAATAGAGATATACTATATTACAGATAAGGTAGATGTTAACATGGTGATCTCATTTCATTAAAATCCGTTCAGCATCAGCCGTGATTCGGCGTTAAGGAACTATTAGTAAGATTATAATAACTGTTAAATTAAATACTTAATGCAATCAGTAATCCATTAAAGGAGACATAAAAAACATTGTTACTTTATAATTTGTACAGTTTCAAATAAAATTTATCAACGTCCTCTCAAGTAGAATGATTTGACAGTAATTTTATTTCGTTATGATATAAATTTACATCAAGGTAGCTACCCCATTAGCTATTATATTAATTTGTTGCATCTCCTAGCTTTACATAAGGTACTTATCTAAATTAAAATAATAATATACTGAAAAAAGTAAATTAGTTATAGAAATTCTTGTTCGTCGTCATCATTGTGATTTCTAACAGCCCAGTAGATGACGCCGTAAAAGTGTGAAATGATTTTGCTACTGTTATCACTAGCAAAATTAGTAACGCATAGCCGTATGGATTGTTGTAAACAACGGTTTGAGCCTAATAAATATATATATGTACATATTAAAATTTTAATATTATGCTGTATATAAAATTATGTTTTTGTCTGTACAGATTATATTTCAACAGCAATGTATGTAGGTAATCCCATTTGTGTAGGCAGACTTCGCCAATAAATTTTTCCAGCAGCGGCTTGTTCACATAATGGGCACTTACAGCAGGCATGTTATCAAAGATACGGTCCGACGATATCACACGATAACGCAATAATAATGTAAAAGTTAATAAGCTGTGAAATGGAAAGGATTTAATAATGAATTGTTTCCGAAATACTACACATAGACGTTGTTATATTTCTTCTGTGAAATTAGTTTAGGATATGATAGAGTTGATATAATACCTTTTGAAATGAAATTTAAAAAAAGTTTAATTCAGTCTAGTATAAGCATATATCTAGCGTAATGAACTAGTATACTTTCAACTTTGCAGTGAAGACTACCTACCAAACTAATAAAAATGTAAAATGATTATTTCTTTAAAAAACAATTCGCTTACAATAACACAGTATTGGAATAGGATAGAATAGAATAGAAAATCATTTATATAAATAAACTTACATTGAAGCACTTTTGAATAGTCATTACATTTTTTTAATCTACCGCTCATTCGGAAAGCTGTCTCATCACAAGAAGAACGAGCAAGAAACTTGCGTGTTGCTCTTTTAAATAATTTTAAATTA